CTCCTTCATTCCAGCCTTCCTCCTATGATACTGTTAGCATTTCAGATTTTGGATGGGTGTAGATCAACTTACATAGTCTCGTTATTCCTGATGAGCTTAATTGCGACCAACTTTTTGGTGGTAATGTCCATAGCTCGAACCACGCCCGAGAACATACCCTTTCCAAGATTTGCTTGGACATGATATCTACCATTCAAAAGTTCACCAAGAATAATCTTGTAATAACCCTCAAGATCATCCCAATTGTCGAGCATGCCGACGTCGAGCTCTTTAGCCTGTGGAATAGGCACTGCTTTGGCAACATCACCATTCGTGATAGCTTGAGGCTTATCATCCGCAACTGAATCTTCGGCAAACATGTCGTCGTCGTCATCGTCTGCAAACATATCAAATTCGTCCTTCGATTTTGGAGCTTTGACTTCAGCGGGTGCGATTTCTGCAGGAAGGAGGACATCTTGTTCAGATGTTGGCTTCGTTTCATTGTATGCCCCGGAGGATACCTCATCAAAATGTCGTTGTCCGTCGCGCTGTCTATCTTCTCTCATATCCATAGTTGGATCATAATCTGCGGCTGAAGGTCCATCCTCCTCATCTGCTGTTGGAACTCCGTGTGAGTTGGCAAGATCCTGATCATCCGTGATTGCGAAAGCGGAAGGAGATCCTGGGTCCATAGGGGTCCCGGGAGTCGAGACGGTGGGTGAAGCTGAGGTTAACGAATCAGAGAGAAATTCGCAATACAGTGTAATCTGCTTACCGGTTGGGCCTGTAGGGCTATCATCTTCACCTTGTCCAGGAGTAGATCCTCCAGATTTGTCTCCTAAGTGCAAAGCTTGTACTAACAAGGGTGTACCAGAACCTCGATACTTAGCTTTAATTGCCTCGCGGCGCTTACGTCGCTGTTCTATGAGTGTAGCTTCATCAATTGGCTCTTCTTCAGGAACTTCATTAGAAGCTTCCTCAGCAGGGGAAGATCTAGGTTGCATCAGTAAATGCTCAACACGAAGGGATTGATCAATAGCATACATGTCCATCTCACTTCCATCACGTTGATGTTTATGCTGTTGCAATTGCCCTTGAGTAGTTTTAGCCTCATATCTCGAATTATCAGTAGGCAGCGGGCCCTTTCCCCGATTGCTCACTGACTGGTCTCTTGAACTTCGGTATGAACCTCCATACCCATAAGGCTTGTTTTTATCCGCATAGTCACCATAGCGGTTGCCATTCTTTACTGATTGTCCATTTCGTCCACTTCTATCTCCTTCACGATTAGCTCGGTAAGGCGAACGACTTCTGGTTCGAGGACGTTTTTCGGGATGCCTATCCCGATGATCATGATCGTCATATCGTAGTTCGGATGAATTCGTTGGCCCCTTGTCTATGTCTTCGTATGAAACCCGTGCGCGGCGTCTATGGTCTTGAGAATAATCTTCGTAATGAACCTTGAATCGTCTTGAATCGTTTCTGCTACGGTCTGGGTAGTCGTCATCTCTAGGTCTCTTCGAACCTCGAGAGTGTCGATCAGAATAAGGGGAACGACTTCTTTGATCTCTAGATCTATATAATTGTTCGGGGGAGCGTGGTGATAAAGAAGTCGTACTAGAACGGGTTCTGTCTTGACGGTCAACGGAAGTGCTACCGGGTGTACGCAGCGACGTAGTTGCCTTCTTCTCCACTACTCCATCACGAATCTCGCCCTCGTCAGAGCTTGCTAATGATGCCGTCATATTCCTTGTTGTAATTGTAAGGACGAAAGCGCCCCCTGCCTTTAGATTTGGATAAATGTGTGTCAGCCAAAGATCACAAACAAGATCCCAAAGTGAGAAGAGCCCAACCGGTTATCTCTCAGCGCATAATTTTCTTCTTTACTTTGGTTTGCTTTGGCAGTATGAAGGTAGAGGATGAGTCTTAGTGTAATAGAAAAGAGTATAAGAGAGTGAAGTATCAATTATTGGTTTGACTGCCAAGTTGTTGCTGTGTATGTGGTTGTACAACTAAAACTGATAAATTCAACATCTTGCATGACGGTCAGTTGCAGCTGCCATATCGATAAACACACTAATCTAAATGAGGTTAGGTTGATCTTGCATCCACCTTGTCAGCATTCTTTTAAGAAAACCCGCAAAAATACCCTTCCCCCACCAAAAAGTGCCTCGAGAAGTCCAGAATAATTCCGCATTTCTTCCACCAAAAAAGACGATCAGTTATTCCAAAAGGTCACCCAAAAAACCGATAAATTTAATTCAAAATGGGAGGAAGTTCGTATAATCTTGTTCATCCTTCTCCGGCCGCATGATACTGACCGAGATACCTAGACGGCACAAACCCTATCCACAACAAAGTGAAGAAGAAGGTCAAGGTTGAGGATGATGATGAGACCATCGCATTCAAGCAGAAGCAGAAGGAGGGTAAGTGACTCTGTATTCCCACCATCTAGTATAACATCTCATTGACAATCACTACTTCAGACAAGGCAAGGCAAGACAAATTAGCCAAGGAGATCGGTGGACAGAAGGGCCCCTTGAAGACCAAGTCGCACGGCATTTCCGGCAGCGGTGGTAAGGGAAAGAAATAAATGGGGGTTCAGTTCTATGCGCGATGGGTTATTGAGTTTACGAGACATTTGAGCAAAGGCGTGGATAATACGGCGTATGGGTTTGATGGAGGATTTTCAGACTTGTGTGATAAGGCTTCGAGCTGAATATGGGGAACCATTCACCACGACGGAGTAATCTATTCAATATGCTTAGGCATATTCTGGACAATCTATATTGATCCAGAATTTATGGATAAATGCAGGCTTGTTTCAACTGTGAAAGTGTTTCTATTATTGACTTCCAAAGATAGCTACAACTTCGCCGCTTACAGGCCCATGAAAATGTTCGCCGACTGTGCTTGTGTGATGGATTCATGGATTCAAGGCATTTGAAAATTCTGCGCCTCCCCCTTCCCCATATCATACACGAAGATATAAAAATTAGAGGGTGGATCGTTGCGGATGATCGTGGTCACCGGTCTGCCGCCCCACGGCCATCAAACCCCTCGGCCACAGCCGCTGCTTTGGTATCAGCTCCAAACCAATACCATTAGTACTTTTGTTCTTGTTGGGGACACTCATAATTTAATCAGTATTGTCCATATCGCACTACATCATACAAACTAGAATCTCGCTCTGCCTGTGCCTTCTTCTCAGCTTTCGCCTTCATGGCTTCCCTGGCTTTGGCTAGCTGCCTTGCCATTCCAATTTTCATCGCGTTCCTCCAGTTTTCGACCACGAAGATTTTGACCAACTGAATGTTGTAAAATCCGTTCTCGTCCCTGATTGCAGCTTCAGGAACAGCCCCCTCGTATAGTTCTCCTTCCATAATGACACCCTTCAGAAATTTTGTAGCTGCAGACCTCGATTGATTATCACCTCCGTCAACCGGAATATTAGCTTTGATACCGTCATTCATCACTTCCACTAGATGTCTTGCAAGATTCCAATCGTGTTGCCTGGTTTCGTATTCCTCCTTGACGCCAAATTTCTCGAAAACTTCATCACGAATTTGTTCCCTCGTGATTTTTGTATCACTATACTTTCCTGCTTCTCGACACATAGGGATGAATTCATCAACCCAAGCTCTAAATATAGGTCGTTTTATCAGACGTTGACGATCATTGTGCTTTAGCTTTTTCTTCCCCTCTACTCCGCCCTCTTGGCCTCTCTCGGCAATACTGCCAGTGGCATCCCCTTCCGCTTCATCTTCGGCCACATCTCTGACCCAGAACATTCGACAAGTTGCGGCATATTCAAACATTTCCTGCTGAGTACTGAAACGTTTCCACCACTTTTCTTGATTCAGCCCCAAGAAGCCCAGTATCTCGGCCGGATTGTCAGTCAGAAATACCATGCTCTTCTTTCTGTCTGCCAACTCGATTTCGGGGATGCGAATGAAAAATGCGCGATTGTTGATAGTAAGTCCAAACCCTCTGATCGTGGTGCCGATGATGTTCCATAGGTCGCCATGAGCAGAATGAAACAGTTCCCAGTCAAATTCATGCTCGCTTTTACATATATGGACATCGACTTGAACGTACCTGCTCGCCAGCGAAACATCTGTAGATTCAGTCACATTCTTTCCATCACCAGTGATAGTATGCTCTGGCCAAGGAACCGCAAAATTGATGGTAGGATTGCCTTTTTCCTGCACGAAGGCTTTGGCATTCAAAGCTTTCTTGAGCTCATCCCCGACTCGATCTTCAGAAGAAAACGCACCCTCCAAAGGTAATGCAACAAGGATGTCGACATCCCCATACGTAGTCTTGCCAGGTCCCTCAATAGCACTCTCAACTTTGGAGTAAAATTTGCGTAGAATTGCTTGATTAAGTTTGAGAGCTTCGTCGTAGACTTCCTGAGTCATACGGGGCGTCTTGATGGGTGGAACCTGAGAAGAAAACGCGTGGCCTCCCATTGTCTCAAGAAACTGCAGTAGAAAGAAAGCACGATTGAAGAAGAGAATATTCCTTGCTTAAACAAGTATTGGAGATGTAAGGTTCATGTGCAAATTCTATAAGCCACACTAAACGACGACAAGCATTGTGCTGTGCAAACATGATATGAATTGTGATGGAAGTAGAATGTGCAAACCTAGAGAAGTAAAACAAACCATCAAAGGAAATCAGGATGGGAACCGAAAAAAGAAACTCCAACCACAGCTCTCCCTCTCTTCTGTACGATGTCAGAAATGGCGATGCCGTTTACATGGTAATTACGGAATAGTTGAAGACATTCAGACGTAGGAACATTTTCAACTAGATTTATGCCCATGTTATCATTTTTTTGATCCGATTGTTCCGTAAGTTTTGGGAATTAAAAGATTCCACTTCGAATCATCCTCGCTATTCTCGCCAACCCTCGTCTCTGCGGGGATTTACCAGGGAAGGAAGGAATGATCAAGAAAGTCATCGGTGGTCATCATCTCACAATTGTCTTTGCCATACTATTTAATTGGGTAACCTTGGAAGAGAACAACAAAGTCGTCATTACTGCGCCTCTACGCCTCAACATTGTCAAGATGGTTCACGGGTAGGCTTGATTTGTATAATGATTGAATTCTAAGCGCTATGTGACTGGCCACCCCTCATTTGACCTCTGCCATAGCCCCGCGAGGATTCTTGACCTTACGGTTTGCCTTCTGCACAGCTTCGCGATAAATAACACTTGAATCCTTCTGCTCTACCTACTTTTACTGGCTTACAACCACACTTTGAGTCAACTTACAATTACAGGCATAGATTTCTCACAGAACAATAAAAGCGCAAGAATGTCATATCAAAACTATCCTCCGTATGGTGCACCGCTGGCTGGACGTGAGTAAAATCTACATTCGTATTTGCGACAATATCTGACTTGAGCGCAGTTGCCCCGCAATCTGGATACCCACCACAAATACCCCCTCGTCGTATGTGAATTGACGTTTGCGACAATGCAGCACCTGTTGACTTTGAATTAGATTCTCCTCAGCCATATCAGCAATACCCTCCTACCCAACCTCCATATCCTCAAAATTCATATGGTGCTCCTCCACAGCAGCCTCCATATCCACCGCAGCAACAACCCTACCAACAATATCCTCCCCAACAAGGTTCCTACCCACAACAGCAACCATATGGCGCACCTCCACCAGGTCCGCCGGGACATTATCCCCCGCCGCAATCATCGCCTTATCCTCCATCGCAAAGCGGATATTCTCAACCACCATATGGCGCTCCACCCCCAGGCGCACAAACTCAATATGGTGCGCCAATGGGTTACGGACAACCTACTCCACCTTCAGCCGGATATGACCTGAACTTACCAAGCCCTCCTCGCATACCCTACGATGGACGCGCAGATGCGCAGGCGTTGCGCAAAGCTATGAAAGGTTTCGGTACTGATGAAGCGACTCTTATCGAGGTATTGCACAACAAGGGACCTTTGCAAATAGAAGCTTTGCGACAAGCTTTCTTTGATACTTTCAAAAGGAAATTGTTGGCAGATGTGGAGAGCGAAACAAGCTCGTATTTCAGGGAGGGTCTCGCTGCGATAATTCGGGGTCCCTTGATACAAGATTGTCATTTGCTTTATTCCGCCATGGACGGAGTAGGTACAAAGGAGAAATACCTGACTGAAGTGTTGATGGGCAGGTCAAATGCCGATATCAATGCGATCAAGTCAATGTATCAGCGCCGATACAAGAGGAGTCTGGCAGGCGATATCAAAGGTGATTTGAGCATGAAGACAGAGGATCATTTCTTGATGGTATTAGAGGCCAATAGGAACGAGGAGAGTGCGCCAGTAATCCCTCGCGATGTTGACCGAGATGTGGCATCCATATGGAATGCGACAGAGGCCATACGAGGACATGACGCAAAGACCGTTTGTGAGATATTCACGAAACGAAATGATGCTCAGTTACGAGCAATCAATCACACATACCAGCAACAACATGGAAAACCATTGGAATGGGTTATCAAAAAGGTAAGCAGATTCATTGCAAATATATTTAGAAATCTCACTGACTCCCTGGACAAGAAGTTCAGCGGCCACATGGAGGATGCCCTCCTCTATCAACTTCGCACAGCTTCGGACAAGGCCATGCGTGATGCAAACCTCATGGAGGAATCCATGAAAGGTTTTGGCACAAAGGATAAATTACTTGTTGCTCGAGTCGTCCGATGTCATTGGGATCCCAAACACATGGATCAAGTCAAGGGTGCATATCAGCATGCCTACGGACGATCTTTGGCATCCAGAATTTCTGCGGATACAAGTGGTTATTATGAGAAACTGATGGTGAAATGCGTCGAGTGTAGTAATTTGGTACAGCCTGGTTACACATGGTTCTAGATCATTTGCATCAAGAAGGTTTTGGTTTCATTTAGGATATTTATGATGTGTTTGGAGGTATGGTCTGTAGTTCTGACAACTTTGGGATTCGGTATTGGAAGGAAAGGCCATGAGATAACGGGAATTGAGGGGTAATTGGGGATCTCCACCAGCGAGCAATCGCGATAGGTAGTACTTTTCGGTTATACGGCGTTTATTTAGGATAGAATTGGTGAGATGATACCAGGACCATCCAATATATGGTCAGAATTTATTTTGATTATTTCGCGACTATTTCAATCTACTTTCCAATGAGTTTCAGTGCGTACAATGTTTTGTCTGTTACCTGTTACACTCATCACTTGGCTTGAACACAAGTATGTACGCTAGCAATTGACCACCCCGCCAGTCGAAGAAAACAGAAAAAACACTGTACCGTGTCATACTAGAGTAAATTGCTAGTCATTATTCGTGCCTCGGTTTTGAATGCGAAAGAACTGTTATGAATAATTACTATTGCTACCTATCTTTTGAAAAATATGGAAAATGAAGTAAAACCGAGCATTGAATAATATGAATCAACTGTACTAATCAAATCATGACTGGATGACTATACTACTTGTACTCTACGGCATCATCGGAAGAGTTTCATTCGGCGGTTTCAGAGACTTGTCTTGTGAATGATTGGTTTCGTGAATAAGGATTAATAACAAATTGATGGATATAGTAGGTAGATAGGTTCCTAGATGGGAATTATACGTACGTACATACATAATACATACATACATATATGAGCGTGTCACAATTTCGGTAGCTAGGGAGAGATCCACCATTCATATACACATAGAGATACAGACAAGACAAGTAATGAAACTCAGAGAGATGATATGGGATTGTTCTATACATTCTTCTATCGTTCTCTGAGGGATGAAGTGGGTATGATTTATTGTAGGTAGATAGGTAGATAGACAGACAGATACATAGATACATAGTATATAGATACTTACTACAAGTATCTATATCTATCTATCTAGATACTCTTGAATTAATGCTTACTCGCCGAGTTCTCTATATTCCATTATAGAATACCAGGTACTTATTAGTTTCATACTATTACCTGCTGGGCTACTTGTGATCAAACCTATCTATCCTACTTACCTAGGTAGGTAGGTAATAATACAAACCCTAATCAATTAGGTATCTCATGTCATGAAGACAACTAATAACGATAATCAGTTATTATAGCGAGTACACTGCATCGTAATGAGTAATGAAATTGAACACCAAATCAGCGGCAATTAAATAAATGAATTGTTGTTGCTGTTCGGATAGATACTTCATCAACTCAAAAATTAACGACTCCTTTCTACCGAGTACACTTCCTTCTAGCCTGCTATTACCACGGTAAGTGGTGTATTGAATTCTTCGGAAATTATAATTATTCTGATATCTATCTACTATCATATTCTTTGATCTCTTTCGATGTAACTCTTAAAGACATTCTTCATTCTTCATTTATTAGTTTTCTGATTTCTTTAATTGCTTGTCATATTACTCACTATATTTGGAGCAAATAGGCAAGGGCCCCAACGCTAGCAAATTTTAGCTTCGTATAGTTTAGCTTTTATTAACTTTCTTTTGATTTCTTCATCATCAACATTTACTCTTCTCTTCATTTTATTATCATTCTTATACGCTCACTCACTTCATCAACATTAATCCTCTCCCTTGATCTTCTTGACAAACAAATAACGCTAGATTCATACTGGAAGCTCTCTGATTAATACGGTTCACTGTGAGTACCGACCTAATCTCTTTTCCTCTGATTTTCTTGATACGAGAATACGTCTCAGGCTCTCGGCAATTTGTTCATGAGATCCGTTTTGCATAATCTTCTGATTAGGAATACCTGGGTACTAATAATAAGTACGTCTGAATATAGATCGATTATTCCACTCGAGGAACACTTGTTGCAGACTTGCGACATCTTACTTTTCTTCTGAACCCCTATTGACCCTACGTTATGGATATCTAAAACCCTCACATTACTCTTCACATAATAACTGTCCAGGTACTTTTTCCTTTCCTTGATTCACTCCCTTTCGACCCTCGACCAATTAAACGATTCTTTTATACCACAGTCACATGATACTTATAATAATAATTTATAGTGTCATTATTATAAGATTGACAAAATTCACCTTTCCGCCTTCTACTATTACTATATTAGGCCCGAATAATTTCAGTCTGTTCAAAACTATCCTCTCAATCAACACAAATCTTTGAGGGTTTGTGATTACCTCGATCAAACAAATCAATCATTATTCCTTTCTTAAACACGTGGATTCCACGTGTGTGATAGATCAAATGCCTCCAATACGTCTTGATGAGAGTGATGACGATTCTGAGCTTTCGGACGTTGATGTAGCTGAGATCGCCAGTGTAGCTCTCTCAGATACCCCAGGATCTACAGTAATTCCAACATCCACAAATTTACCTGAACACAATGAGATGAATAGGGATGAGTCCCCTCTCGAGTCTCAAACCATTGCAGCATCATCGAACCCGGATGAGGATGGTGGAACCATCGATCTTGATACCCGTCCACCACCCGAGGACAAAGCCGATCTAGGAAAGAGTGTAAAGGCGGAATCTGAGTCTCCCAAACAAACTAGACTACCCATACAAAATTCTGGACGTCGAGGCAAGAAGGCATCCACCGAACGGGAGTCTGGAATTAATCCATCGGAACAACCATCGAACATTCTGAAGAGAAAATCATTTCCAAGTGACTCTCCCAAGAACGCTTCCACGAGTCCTACAGCACACAGACAACTTCGTCGTCCAGATCTTGCTACGCCAACGCCAAGGCAACCCTCTATAGCGACCTTTGAGCGTCAGTCCACCCGCCATCACGAATCGCCATCCCTTGCAAAAATCCAAGAAGAAACTGCTCGTTTGCGGGAAGTTTTATTGCATGTGTCAACTGAAGCGACTCAAGAAATATTGAAGGAGCAGTGGAGAAATTTTCTTTTCACGAATGCAAAAGAGTCACACATCACATTCATTCTTCGAGCTGGATTGAAGAATGCTAGCCCTAGCGTTCTTGCACGAATCTATAACGACTCTGGTGTCATGAAAGATACCTTCTTGGAGACTATCACCTCTAAGCAACCGATTGTCGCTAGGGTCCTCAAGAGTGCTTCTGCAAACCAGCTTGCAGATCTCGTACCCAGCAAAGTTCTCGACCAGGCTCTTTCTGAACGGTTGAAGAGTGTTCCAGCAAAAACACTCATACGATGGCTGGCTGAGGCTGATAGACTTGGTTACAGTCTCGATGATATTCTGGACGAGAATGATGAGACTGTCGTACCACACATGCCGAGTAGAGCACAAAGTCATGATGGTGATGATAATAATAATAATAATAATGATGATGATGATACAGAAATGAAAGATGATGGACAAAAGAAAGTGGAAGCTCCGTCTTTGGATCCCCTTGTTGCTGAACAAGAACGAATCAGCGCCCTGCAAAAATCTCAAAACGATGTCCAAGCAAATCCACCACGCGAGTTGAGATGCCCCACGTGCACCTATAAGTTTGATACCATTAGAGGTCATAATTTTGTGAGTATGAAATCATCATGATTCTACTTTAGAGCTAACAGCGATATAGCATCGACAAAAGAATATCTGCACTAGAAGTCAGCCTCCGGGATTGAAATTTTATTGTGGCAATTGCGCTCAAGGTTTTACCACTAAGCAAGGAATGCTATATGTATGTTTGATCTATGTGACTTGGGAATTTTGCTGACTTGCCAAAGCATGAAAAGAAGCGTGTTTGCCTTGGGGCAGAGGGCAGTCCAGACGATGAAACGGTTTATCAAGACTACCGAGACATAGTTTCGAATTCGCCAAATCCTCAATATGGACAACACCCTGACCACCCGCAGAATACATCATTTGGCAATATCCCTCGTCCACCTCTCCACACTCCAGGATCGCGCTCTAAGCATATCGAAGCGATCATCGCTGCATCTCCCTGGGACGGAGAGGCTCGTCACTCACCATCTGAATTGCCGCCCGATAAACGTGCTGCTTTGGAGGACGCGCTCCAGAAAATCGAAGAAAAATACCTCGAGGATCAAAGCAAGATTCCGGAGGACTGGACCGCCGAGAGACGAGAGGCACGGCTTACCTCTCTCAAAAATGGAAACGCATCTCGTAAATCTCAAATTCGCAAACAATTTGGTGTTACTCTTCGTATGCGCGACAGAGACAAGGAGGCAAAGAAAATACGTGATGTTTTGGGTTCCAATTCTCCAATGGTACCTACTGGCATGAACAGGATTGAATATCGTAATTCACCAACGGTTGCTGGCTATCCAGTAAACGCTCAGCAGCAAATACATCAGAATCAAACACCGGCCGGTATGAGAATGGAGATGGTGGATATGAGACCTGCTACAGGATTTTCGCCAATTAATGCACCGCCGCAACACCAGCAACACCAGCAACATCAACAACATCCTCAGCACCAGCAATATTCGCAAGCACCACCAGGTCACCACCCAATGCAATATTCAGGTCCTCCTCAAGCTCAAAGTTTCCAACAAAATTTCCCACCTGTTCCACAACTTCTGTCACAGCCGCGTCCTAGCCCAGACCATCGAATGAGCCCACTTGGGTATCAAGGAGCTCCGGAACAAGCATACAGAGGACCGGGAGATCATGCAAACAAAAGACTCAAGCGTAATTCAAGTGCAGGAATGTCACGAGCAGATGAAGAAAGAAGTAGACATTTTGCACCCGCTGATTCGGCTCCCATGGGTATGAATGAGAGAAGGGCTTCTGGGGGTAGAACCCAGGCTTACAATGGTCCTGGAATGGTCGGCATGGAAAATCACAGTTCCGGTTCTGCAGGAGCAAGTGGTGCTGTGATGGATGGTGAGAGTAGACCAAATTCTGCAGGCTCAAGTAGTGTGCGAAAGAGGGTGCCTGTTGGGGCGTTGCAGAGGCAATGGGAAGCGTTGAATGGGAAGGGGCCGGGTAGGAAGACGGAGCTTGAGAGTAGGGCGGGAAATGTATTGATGAGTGGTGTAGACGGGGGCGAGAGAGCAAACGGACGAGTTGAAAATGGAAATGTGGTGGTGGATGGGAAAGGTAAAGAGCCAATGCGTGAGGGTGGTAGGAATGTGGTCGATTTGGTTAGTGATGATAGTTCGAGTGAGCGTGAAGCTGCGGGACCTGGTGGAGGAGAAAAGTAGATTTCTGGAGGTGCGGTGCGGTGAAACTCAGAGGAGATTAGATGTTTGTTCGATGGAAGCGTGGATTTTCATTTTTCATTCGTGGCTACTGGCCTTTTTTTTTATACCTACCTACCTACTTACCTTTGTCAACTACTTTTGTTTGTTCTCTCACTTGGAGAGGAAGTTGAGGAACCAGCGAGATAGGGATTTATTGGAATCTACATCATTGCAGAAATGATAGATGGGGAGGGTGTCAACAAATGTATTGTATTCTGAATACCTCGATCTGCCTTTTTTTTTTGTGTGTTTTTTTTTTTCCAAATGAATTCGATGCGTCTTTAATCTTATGCGATATGATATGATACGATACGATACGATACGATTTTTAATGATGATAGGATAGGTAGTTTGCTTCTGCTTCTGCTTCCAAAATCGTAGCGGTAGAAATCGTACGTAGTTTAGTTTAAGAAATAAGTTTACAGATAGATAGATGCTGAGCTGATTATCTAGGTACTAGGTAGCTAATATAGTGAAATGGTTGGATGTTGATTTGTATGTATTTGATACTATTGGTGACGTGATTGGATGGATACTGGGTATGTGTATATGTATGTGTGAGGTTAGATTGATTATTACTTCGAATACCTGGTATGGATACTTTTACTTCTACTGGTGTTTGTACTTTATTTGATTATTTGATTATTTGATTATTTGATTATTTGATTATTTGATTATTTGATTATTTGATTATTTGATTATTTGATTATTTGATTATTTGATTATTTGATTATTTGATTATTTGATTATTTGATTATTTGATTATTTTGTTAAAAGATCATATATGAGTTGGTGGAAAAGCCTTAATCTTATTAAGTTCTACATAGAGATACGATATATATGTGTGGACTCGACAGAGTCACATGCGGGCTAATCCCGATACAGCATAGCGTGATATGCGGTATAAGCACCTTTTCTAACATATTTGATTATTTGATTATTTGATTGTATTTACTGAGTATTTATTTGATTAAGCTAAGTTTCACTAAGGAAAATCTAAGCTTGGGAAATCATGAAAATATGAAAATGGGTAAGGAAAATGCTTGTATGCTTGAGGGAGATTGAGAGATTATTTTGGGAGGTGGGTTGGGGTTGGTTCATTGGTGTAGATGGGTAGATGGGTAGATAGGTAGATAGGTAGATAGGTAGATAGGTAGATAGGTAGATAGGTAGAAGATAGGTATTTTGTGATGTGCAATATGTACAATATGTGTAATTTACATCTTCATTCTGTTCTGGATTGTGGGTTGAGGAAGTTGGGAATTGAAGTTGGGAATTGTAATTTTGAGGGAGGAATGATTAGAATGGCACTTGATAAAAAAGCAGCTTACATCTAATCATCTAATCATCTATAATCCACAATCCATCTTATCAGATCAGATCATCTCCCCTCATTCGTCATCCATTCTTCATTCCCCATTCTCCATCAATCACAATCACGATCTCGAAACCCACCACATATATACCCACCCACACCCAATCCCACACCACAATCCCCCACAATCCCTTACCAACACAAAACATACCTCCCTCTCTACCTTACCTTCCCTACCCTACCCTTCCCTCCCCAAACCCATCCAAACACCTATCTACCACCTACCTACCTACCCCAAACCCACCTACCTACCTACCTTCCACTGCCGGCACGCCAAGCGCTTGCCAAGCCCGGCTAAATGCAGTCTGGAAATGCTCCTTCCCAAACGGGTGATTGTAGGGAGTATGGATAATCGCAGGGCCTTGGTATTTCTTGGGGATTTCGGGATTTCTGGATATTGCTGGATATCTCTAGATGAGTGGTTTGGAGGTGGGTTTCCAAGAGCCGGTGTAGAGGGGGCCAAGAGATAAAGAATTTGGGGGTTTGGCTTTGGGTGCTGGGGTGGCTTTTGGGAATGGGAAATGGGAAATTGGAAGGTAGTATGGAGGGTTAGGGTAGGGATGGGTTGGGGTTTGGAACTTGGAAGGGAGGGGAGATTGGGAAGGGGATGTGAGAGAGGGAAGGTGGATGGATGGGTTGGATGCGTTTGTGGATATTTGAGTGGTGGGATTTTGAGGGGGGAGAAGGCAGAGGAGAGATTTGGGAAATGCATGTGATAGTGTGTTTATGGACGAAATTGGGTTGGAACGTTAGTTGAGATAATGGTAACGGGATATATTTTTTGGCTGATTGGATGGGAGGTAGATCGAATTGGATTTGTTTGGGTTCTGGGATGTAGTCTATAGAAGAGAGGGGCAGATATGTAAGTACATCTAAGAATAGCATAGCAGACCAGTGATTTTATTCCCTTCCTATAGATAACCTTATGGTGAGTATCTTCATCCCCGCATCTACCATTCTATAGGCTACAACTTACGCGCTCTCCACAAGGCTACATCGGGAGTTGAGCATGGAGATCTGTTATATCCCGTCGCCTTCTTCTTTGGGGTGATAAGATGTGGTACTGACTTGAACCACGATATCAATCTCCCCCTCGCCGAGCCACCACCCCATAAATTAAGAAGGAGATAAGCTGTCTTCTTCAACTGACAACATGAAGCTATTGAGGACCCCAAAAAAGGAAAGTGATAATTCTCAAATCTTTGGATTTGAGGATCCACAAATCGACCTTCTCATGAATATAAATCTGAAGCCATCACCACTCTCTCAGTCTCATCAGCACTTCCAATCCACTCCTCCATCTCCAGTATCCTCCTAACACTGTACGACTCTGTACCACCGCACCTTCGCAATGGCACCAATTCTCAACTTCGCGCTCGCTCTTGCGATGCCCATCCTTTCATTGGCTGCTGCCCTTCCAACCGGAGCTGAGCTCGAAAACCGTGCTACTACTCTCGTAGGAACTCCAGATATTGTCGGAGGAACCACCGCTGCTCTTGGTGAATTCCCCTACATTGTCAGCTTGTCCAACAGTGGCTCTCACTTCTGTGGTGGTGTCTTGCTCAACGCCTACACCGTTCTCACTGCAGCCCATTGCTCTGTCAGCTACTCGGCTTCCTCAGTTAAAGTTCGTGCTGGAACTTTGGTACGTTCTTATCTTTCATCTGTACTTTATCAAACGCAAGATTCAAGAGAGCATCTATTCGAATCACTCCGAAAATCTACATTTCGTACTTTTAGGTACACGTAAACTGACATTTGTATAGACCTGGGCATCCGGCGGAACCCAAGTTGGTGTTAGCAAGGTTGTAGTCCACCCATCCTACAGTTCCTCCACCACCAACAACGACATTGCGCTCTGGCATTTGTCGACTGCTCTCCCAGCCAGCTCCACCATCGGCTACGCCAAGTTGCCCGCTCAAGGCTCCGATCCCGTTGTTGGTTCTACCACCACCGTTGCAGGATGGTAAGTGTTTCCGAAGCTTCAGCAAAGTTTGTCTGTAGAAAGAGCACTAATTTGTAAATAGGGGTCTTTTGACTGAGAACGGATCTACATTGCCATCAACTTTGAGAAAGGTCTCGGTTCCAGTTATCTCCCGTGCTTCTTGCCAAGCTGAGTATGGTACATCTTCCGTTACCACCAACATGTGGTGTGCGGGATATGCTGCAGGTGGCAAGGATTCCTGCTCTGGCGACTCTGGTGGACCAATCATCGATGCTGCCACTGGTGTTTTGGAGGGTACTGTCTCCTGGGGTCAAGGTTGTGCTGAGGCTGGTTACGCTGGTGTCTACGCCAGAGTTGGTAACTATGTTACTTACATCAACTCCAACCTCTGGACCAGTTTGTAAATATGGAGAAGATGATATAGTGGGATGTTAAGAGGAGGAATATGGGCGGGCAAAAGTTGGTAGCATGGAAGGTAGGATAGGGATGGGTGGTGGAGCAGCTATAGTATGATGAGTTAGGCTTAGTCTAAGGAATTTTATTGTGCTGTCCCAATTTTACATACTTTTAGTGAGAATCGGCCACCTTGGAATCATGATTGAAGTTTGGATGATGCCGAAAGGCCCTAAAAGCACAACTTCGATGTATCAAGAGGCACTGGATATTGTTTCCAATCCTCGTTTACAATAAAGTCTAGATCTCGAGGCTCTTGAATCATTGAGATTTGCAATCCATCAACATTCAAGAGGAATGATTGTGTAACTATTCATTATTAGCAAAAATGTACAAAACTATGATACTGCCGTGGGAATATCTCACCAGTGACTCCTCGCTCTCATAATCCATTTGCGACTCTTCGTAGAATTTGTATCGATACTGTAATCGACCTCGAGAAATCCAATCTATGCCAATGACACAAGCTAAGATACAGTAAATAATACTGATGTAATTCATATCTATGATTATAAGCTCGAATCGCCATGACGCTATTATGAATACTTACTAGATGCGGTCACCGGAAGATGTATTGGAAATGAGAACCTGCAAGATATAATGTTAATATTTCCCAGATAAGATAGAATGGATGACTTACATGACGAGTGCAAACAATGTCCAAACGATTGTCACTAGGTTGGCAATATAGCCAAACTTACCAAGCCAAAAGGGTCCATGTGAGATTTTATCGCGACCCTTATGAAGCAAGCATAGAAGAGGGATGCTGTAAGATATATACGGGAGGACAATACAGCCAATGATCATGCTGTGGAATGTGTTAGAACTGAGCACTACTTATGCACGGTATTGTGTAGAACTCGCCTATTGAAAGCAGTTGTTGATAGTAAATATAGAAATCCAAGTATAGCAACGACTGTTGTGCTCATGGCGTGTGCTCGAAATGGGACATCTAAAGTAGTATCAATCTTGGCTAGAGATGGGTGAAATGGAACACCTCCATCTCGAGCAAAAGTCCAGCAAAGTCGGGATTGCAAAGTATGACATGCAATCAGACAACCAATTCCTGTTGCCATGATAAGAGACTCGAGGAATATTGCAGCAGATCGATTTCCGACTGACTGATAGAACAACTCCAGAATCGGCACTTTTGTAAGCGTTCCGATAACAGCATCAAAGTTGTTGAGACTGAAGAACATCGCAATAACGAAAAACCACGCAGTCGTAAATCCAATTGCTATGGTAGCCATGATTGATATTGGGATTACTACTTCTGGTTGATGAGCTTCTTCTGCTAGGTGCACAGCGCTATCAAGGCAAGAAAATGCCCAATTTGCGTTTACGAGGCCGACAATGAAAGCAATACCATTGTTTGACCAACCCGTATTGTTAATGAAGGTTGCGAAGACAAATTTAATGTCTTGATGCGTTGGGGCTTGTGATGGCACAAAAAAAAGAATAATCCCAAAGGAAATCAAAGACATATAAAGAGTAATGGTCCCAAGTGTCGGCAATATTTTACCGTAGCAATTGAATAGAAAAGTAAATAGATTGACTACTTGATACGCAATAAAGATGTGCAGTTCATGGATAATACTATTAACGAGTTAGTATATGACTGAACTTAAGACAGACTGGGCCTGGAGAACTCACAAATCCGAGTGATTTAATTGCCAACATCCAACTGCCGCTGATGCGACTGCCAATGATACACTGGCTGATGCAAACAAGGACCCAGCCCATGCACAGTATCCAGTCACAAATGACAAAGGCCTGGCATATTTCTTGGGAGCCAGTTCCATGACCCAAAAATGTTGTCCTGCAGCATTTGGCATTGCACTGGCTAATTCTGATAACGAGCATCCTACAAAAATACTCACGAAGGCAACGAGAGGTATTCCATACACAAACAGGGCAGGGCCGCCAGAATCTATGCCAGTGATTAAAGCACTCGAAATTCCAAACCATGAGTTTGTGAGAGAGAACCCTTCTCCCAGTATTGACCAGAGAGTGAATTTACGGCGCATATCGTGATTTTCACCGCCATTTTGACTCGTTGCATGTGGGATAATGTCCGACTCGTAGATGGTGACATTGGACGACGAAATATCGTCAATCTTTGGGATATTCATAATCTCGTTTTGGAATCCAGTGTTCGTCTGACAGCTATCGGGTTTGTTGGGAAGTGATGTCACGAGGCTTCACAATAGTGAGTCCCCTTAGAGCTGTCACCGACCCAAGTTCTCTGAGAGAGTGGTATCGCGTGTGTAATCCGAAGACCGATAATCTCCGAGAAATAGAGTTTGTGAAAGTGCTCTAATTAGCATCTAATTAGCATTTCATGGATGTGGGATTGCCGAGGAGTGTTGCGTCTAGAGAGATGAATCCTTTATACTTCAGAGAGAATTTGACCTCTACTCTGACGGGATTGTATGGAATGTCCTATTGTGGCAGTTTGTTCCATTAATCACCCACTTTTGACCAGAAGATGAGTGTGAAGGTGCGCTAAAGATAAGAAATTGAACCCTCAAAACCTTATCAATATCATTGCATCGACATGGACTACTTCGTACATAAAATTACGAGTAGGGGGTCGTAGAGTTAAAGTTTGCATATGTAGAGATAAGACACAGGGCAACGCAACAAGAACGTTTCATCCAAACTTTGTTGCAGTTTGTTCATATTGAGGTTGTCCGTGGGTTCCCCATTGGCCGGAGAATTATATTATGCACGTGAAACATTTCAGCTAGCTTCATTCCTTACATGTCAGCCCCATGTCAATTGACCTAGTGTGTTCTGGTCACAATTCATCCTGGGATACGAGCAAATAAGACATATAATCTCCACGAGCAACTTGTCGATAGAAATGATGGAATGGTTGTGGAAGAGAGGAAGCTTCTAGGGAGTCCAACGATAACGAAGTATCGCAAGAAAGAAAATCGAATGACAGCCAACGACACATGATATCGATTCTGTCAGCTGAACTGTCAGATTCGAAGCTCATGATGAAGAGCGCATCCGAGACTGTATCATATAAAAACCACGTTTTCGAAGGATTGGTGAGAAGAGATTCTGATATCAGATTGTCGACGAAGAGGTCGATATTCTCGATTAATTACCTACTCATTCTTGTCCGGTTGCAACAAATGTGTCCTGTGATCACCTGTGAAACTGTCAGTGTGAAGCGAAGCTTTTCTGGAAGCCTTGGGGAGTGAGTACAAGACCCCAGGAGCGGGATCACAGAACTAAGGTCTTCCCTCGACACGGAGTTCTTTCTTTTAAGAGGGAGTAATATGAATAATAATATAGGAACCCCAGTTTTTACGATAAAATAAAGAACTAGATTTCTTGAGTGTATAATTAATCAAGAATACATGCATGATAAATGAGAATAATTCTGTCAGATTCTCGAGATATCAAAATAATCAGTACTTTATTAAATAAGTTAGAGGGCGTGTATCTAGACGCGTCTGCATGATCACTTTTTGCGTACAAGGTGTGTTCTTAGTAGGAAAAAGACTAAATTTATTACTATCCAAAGCAACCTTGGAAACGTCGCTCCTTTATTTGATTTTTGACACTTTATCTACACATGCAATGAGTGGGTGATAAAAGCAGAACTACATAACTCATGTTGTCTCATCTATACATCAATAATTGCAAGTAGCAAAATTACAGGAAAGAGTAATTGCATTTGAAAAGTCCAAAGAAAAAGTAAAACGACACCTGAGTGATTCGAACACTCGCTCCCGAGGGAAATGCCTGACTTTATACTGGTACAATAGCAGGGCATCGCGTTAACCACTCCGCCAAAGTGCCAACTTTAATGACGAAGAAGCTGATATCAAATTATATATACCACATTTTATCTGCGGAAAATGAGTGTAATGGTGGGGCTGTGGGGTAACCTCCACATATATTTCAGATACCTCAGTCAATGTCAAATGGAATATTTCAAGAGACGTACTTATTAGTAGGTATTGGTGAAGAAGAAATTGAACATCCCAAAGTTTTCGATGATCTTTCGCTGAGAGCCTGCACAACCAAGAATTGATGAAGGGCTATGTTTCAACGGCAGCCTCCGTACTGCATTGCTCCACAGTTGCCAGAACGAAAAAGAGTCCACAAGCAACATCACCAGTCTGGATCTTCTCCCCGAATCAACCAGAAGAAATGTCTCCCATTCTAGTTGTACCTCTGTCAATGAAGTAGCTACCTCAATATCACGATTTTCCTCGTCGAAGTCATCGAGGTACAAGAGTCCATAGAATTACGCAATGAAGACCGCGAATCTAACCGTGCCGAATACCCAAGGGACGAATCCAGAGTCTATTCATCAAGGATAAGTATGGTCGCCGACTCTGCAGTCAAGGTTACAGCCAAGCTGTACATGAGAATGAGAGCAACTATGAGGAACGCCAGTTTGGTTGAACCGCCAGGAGAACTTATTACTTAAAGACCCCAGACAGGCTTGTCAAGACAACACAGATTTGTACGTGGGAACTTATCAACAGTAAATATATGGCAATATCAGTCATGAGAGCACCGAGTTCAATAACTGCAGCACTGAGGAAGACTCTTACACCTCTACTAGTACCAACAAATCAGCCGCTCGCGCGAAGATGATATCTATAACGTGCTGGTATTTCAGCTGCACATCAATAGGGATATGGTCTTATTGAAGTCTGCAAATGAGAGTTTCTTCCTATAACGTTGCAATGTTTCTCAGTCAATGTGATGTCGGAAGAAGAGAAAGAAGAACTGCATGTATCTCATATTCTAGATCTTCCTTAACAAATTTTTCACATTGGTTCTTCGTTAGACTTCTTTAAGATTCAAGGCTAGATTGCTATTTCCTAAACATGAGAAGTTGGGTTCTCGCTTTGTATGCTGTCGCAAGAGAAGTTTCCATTCATATAGATTCCCAGCTGTGAGCTTCAGATGTTGGATTATATGTATGTGTGTAGGCTGAAAAAAAGCCAGTCATTATTCTGACCAAATAGCAAACAATACCTATCAGACAGATCAGAAATTGAACACTATACAGCATGTCAGTTTTATGCTATAAGAAAGAGTTGCAATAGGTCAAACTAGACAAGAGAAAGATTCAAAGGCAGATTATCCGAGTTCATCTTTAAGACTGAGTGATTACTTGGCAAATTTCTGAACTTTGTTATCTATGGAGTCGATTAGAGTTACTGATTCAAAGAATTGAATACTCCTTTGATTATTTGTAGAATTCGCACATTGAAAAATTTAAAAGTGAATTCGGAGTCGAACAGATGGGAGGTTCTAGCAAAGATATCGACTCAATTATCTCAACAACAATGTCTCCGACTTGATTTATACTCTGCTCGACCTGTAGTTTTTTCATATATACTCAGGCTAAAGGACTCAAAGACAACGACATTCAATAGTTTGATTTGAACTATGGAATACGATTGAGTCTAACTGAAGTTGTATTCTATGTATCTGGAAAGGAATTCTCAACGAAAATCTCCATCGAATCTTCCATCTTTCAAATTCGGCAAAGAAAAGTACGAAAGATTCACTCTGCGCCTCCACAAGGAAAACGGTGGTATTAGGATCACGATCTATTCATTATTACCAACTATTTCAACACCGTACCAAGACCCCTACTCCTCTTTGAAATAGTCGGGATGGCTTCCTCCTCTTCTTCCTCTTTTTCCCCAGACCAAATCCTCACCGCCAGCATCTCCAAACTCACTCTCCAACCCTACCATCCACAACCACTTACAACCTCAACCATGAATCCAGCTCCATCAACCACACCGAACACCTCGCCTCCAAATCCAAATCCGACCCCGACTCAAAATACGCACTACACCATCACCAACCCCCTGACCTTCACCACCTTTCTCGACCAACTCCCCCCCTCCAGCATCACCCACCTAGTCCTCGCTCCCTCTCCCCACCTGGGCCGCATCACCTCTCTCCCCCACCTCAACGACACCCTCGGCGATTCCCTCGGCGACGCCTCCACATTTGCCGAACTACACTCCTGGGTGACACTGCTCCAGCGTCTTTCCCACTCGACCCCCTCTCTCCGCTCCCTCACCATAATTTTCAACGCCGATATGAGCGGACGCGATACCCATGGGTATCGAAGAGGCGTAGGTGAATGTCTCGGATTCATATGGGCGATCGCCAGGTTCCGGGGACTGGACTGGGTGGATTTGCAGGGTTATTTTCCGGCGCAGTGGCCGTGGTATTTGAGAGGCGTGTGGGCTGCAAGTGGTCAGGGAACGAGGATTTATAATAGGGTGGAGGCGCCGGAGTGGGCGTTGAGGGAGTGGAGGAGGGGGACCGAGAGGTTGGATCCGAGAGAGTTTGAGTAGGAGTGAAGGTGGAGATGGAAACGAATGGAGGGAGAGAGATATGGTGTATTGAGGGAGAAATGGTTATTGCGATTACGACTTTCGGATTTGCGGTTTGATTCGGCTTATTGTGGTTCGGGAAGTCATCTATGGGAATGGCGGTTGATGGTTGATGGTTGATCTCCACTCATATATGTGTGCAAATCTTTGCAACGCGGATTGTAACGTTTATAATTGATGGATGCGGCTAATACATAGCACAGTAATAATAATAAAAGGTTTTGCTACTTTGTCAAGCGATGTGTGTATGTGAATATATGACCTGCATATTCCTCGCATTTCTTCTAGTGAAGTAGGTAGTCGACAGCTTTTGCGTACAGATGGTCCTGTGGTCCAGAATGAACGAAACCCCAAGATTTCCTGCTTATTATGCGAAGTCGAAGACATGCTGGTTTTTTTAATTTAAAAACTGAAGAAGAAATTCAGCGAGGATTAGAGGTTTCCACTGCCATACCCAGAGCGCCGTAGCCAACATGCCTATTTGCCCCATTCTCCATCATTCATATTTCATCTCCCAAGTCCCTTTCCCTGTCCGTCTCCTCTCGCCCACTTCTTCTCTCTTCCACTATCCGTTCATTCCAGCTATCCATTACAATAAGTCCATTTGCTACCATAGATCGTATTAGACCGTCGCATTGATTTCAACCAATGTAGAATCCATTGGTGAAGCCATCGAGATTTTCTAAAGCAAATTCAATTAGACCTGGTTCCTCCTCCAGTACCTTATTAAAAAGTTTGTCATCAGAAAGTTTGTGCCATTCACCACCTATGCCAAAGCGAAGATTTTCGACATTACCAACTTCGCGCAAGGATTTGAAGAGCTTTGATACGGGCCCAAATCCAGCTGTAAATTCAGGCATCCTGACGGCGCCGACAGTATTGGCATTTACCAAGGCCATTGATTTACAGATGATGAGTGCACATGTAAATATGGAGAGGTTATCAATGACAAGATTCTGTATCGATGTAGAATGATCCCATATAGAGCAAGGCAATTCGTGTCTGTTCTTTAATATCTTCAAGAGCCGAGCTAGCTGACAGGATTTTACGGATTCTTTACAATATTTGAACATAAAGAGTAAATCATAAATGTGATTCGCTATATGTTCCATCCATATGCGCCTTCTGACATAACGAAATTTTGGATGAAATTTCAAAAGTTCCAAAGCAGTGTCATCAGCAAGATAATAATACTCCAAATCGAGCATTAGACCCATTCCAGCCGTTGGGGTCATTTGGAAAGCGAGATGGTGAAAATCCTGTATGTGGATGATGTCTCTTTTTGGATCGAAACGAAGGATTCCGTTATCCTTAAATGGCACGTAGAAAATAGGAAGAGTTCCACGAAATTTCTTTAGTGCAAGTGAACGAGAGAAGCTATCGATTCGCAGTAAGGTACGAGCTCCAGTCATATTAACCTTGAATCCTTCATCTGTAATGTCTGTACAATGCTCATAATGATACACACTCTCCATCAGACTTGGCTTCATAACATAGCTTTGCGTCTTCTCATCGCTTTCAATGATATAGGTCCACAAGAGTTCGATAACACCTTGTGGAAGTCCATAAAACTCCTTAGAAGCCGATATGACAGGAGTGTTGTCTTTCCAATTGTCCATCCAACTTTCCATCCAGGTCATTGGTCCAAAAACTACCTTTTCCCTCTTCATAAGTGTCTTGATCTTCGATAGAAATTTTGAGGATTTGACCTTCGAGACTATTTCCTTTGATTTGATGTTGAATTTCGACTTGGTTTTCTCTGGGGAAAAGCTAAGTCTCGAGCTGTGCACCTTGTATGTGACCTTGAGGGGACCCATTTTTGGATATATGAAGAAGGTATTTGAGATAGTTGTTAAATGAGAAGAATAGAGATTCGAAAAAAATGTTGTTCTGTAAGAACTATGGAAGATATGTGAAGAGAGATGTGAAGAGAGATGTGAAGAGAGATGTGAAGAGAGATGTGAAGAGAGATGTGAAGAGAGATGTGAAGAGAGATGTGAAGAGAGATGTGAAGAGAGATGTGAAGAGAGATGTGAAGAGAGATGTGAAGAGAGATGTGAAGAGAGATGTGAAGAGAGATGTTAAGAGAATAATAAGAATTTATTAGAAATTAGTATGAATAGTAGTTATGAGAAGAGAAAGTATTGAAGTATTAAGAAAGCATATATAAAATCATGAGAAACTCAAAGTCAAGAAAAATTAGATGAAGAATTGAAAAATTGATTTGTGTGGGAGATTTCAATAGTATATATAGTGTAGTACTAATGGCTTACTAAATTAGGTTGTCTGATATCATCATCGAGAGGTTTAGTCTATTATACCCCCTTTGTGAAAATGACTAAGCATTGTCACGCTTCAAATGAGATTTTGTATGCTTTGGTGCGTGGTTCTAGTGATCTTTGCTCTTCTGGGATGTACTAATATAGTAGGTGGTATGACTTATTTAGACAATGATATGGGGAAGTGACAGATGTGACTACCTACCTAGTATGCAAATTTTACTTACCATGAGATCGATTTTGAGTTTAAGATCTATTTCAGCCGAATGCACACGTATCAAACCAGTGACTAGTTGTAATGGAAGATCAGGGTAAAAAGAGCACGTATACACATTATTGTAATCTTAACATCACTCAGATCATAGCTAAATGATGAAAAATGCTCTTATATGTATTCAAGGGATGTATTATTCTAATTCATTTGCCTCATAGCTTCAAAGTTATATCTTGGTAATAAACACCCTAAACATTTATATCTATATTATCGCTTTCAGATCTTAATATATATGTATATTTTAGTGATTCCGTGGAATTTGAGTCCCAGAAGCAGCTACAGTTGACTACCGGAAGTCTGGTCTAAAAATATCTGGGTGCCGATAAAGTCGTATATTGAATGGCTGCACGCCGAGAATACTTTAAGATTCGACAACCCGTTATATTTTTGACATCAATGCCTGAATAGATCCACCTCACCTGGATTGGATCTCATGTGCTGCTCAAATGCATCTTCCACGAGCTCTAGAATCTCTCTGCCATGTTTGGCATCCTCGATATTCACATTGGAATTGAAGTATTTATCCATCCACCGAGTAACTAATCTGCGGAAAACGGCTCGAAATGCAGTTCGACCCCTCTCATTAAGGAGATGTACCGGAAGTTCATCCGAATGAGGTGGTGAGTAACAGTATTTGCCGATGAAGGACTCTATGTCGAGGTAGGCAATGCAGGTCGCATTTCCCTTATCAATTCGATAATATAGAAGAGTATCAATTTCATTCTGAGGAATGTGAGGACCGTTCGAAATCTTGTTGACACTGCTACCAAAGGTAAAAACCATAACACCGCATAGTAGCTCTTTGCTCCGATAACGGGTCATCGCTCGTTGCAAGTTGAGGAAATTGGCAAGAGATTCGAGGTTCCATCTGAGTAAAGAGGAGAATATCTTTGGAACGACTAGAGTGCCTGGATAATTCAGCCCTCTGAGATACCATCTCTCTGCTGTGTTACGCTGAACAGCGGTTAAATGGCGCAAGTTGGAACAGGCAAAGATTAGTCTGCTCAAGAAACTAATGTTGTGAGCTACTGCAAGCTCTTGTATTCTGTCACCGCGACTACGCTCATCAGCTGTAATGTTAAAGAAGGAGAAGAGGTGTAGGGGAACAGCGAGGTACCTAATTTCACTGAAACATGCTGGGATCTTCCCTTTGTAGCATATCCTAATGTTACTAAGATCAGGCTCTTCCATCTTAAGAACGACAGTCGTATCTTGGTGAATACATATTGGAATCTTCTTGTCGAGAGATGGCAGCACCACGGGCAGATGCTGTAGATAAATTCTACGAATTGCCCTTGAGACAAACAAAATTGATGTGTGTTTTCTGTCAGGCTCCTCTTTAAGTAGTATTTGATTATTGAAATCCAGGCTGACTGAGAAATGACGAATTCGATTGCGTTCCGGGATACATTCTTTAATTATCATATATTGAATCTCTGCGGGCAACTTGTCGAAATGAAACGAATTGATGGGATCTAAATCCATGCTTCTAGTACTATACGGTGGCCCATGGGGTTCTCGAACCGAAATAGAAGTTGAGTGTGAAGCATTTTCGGGTTTATCCTCTGTTTCTAGATGTCTTTCTGTATACGAAACTTGTACAAGACTGGCAATACTGGAAGAAGCTGATAGTGATGCGTCGCCGGATCTGGGTTCGGCTTCAGAGTTTGTAGATGATCTTTGTGCTTTTGATATTGTAGAAGAGGTTTCTTCAGCCGCAAGCGTCGTAGAGGACTTATTGTTCTCATTTGAGTCTTCTCCTGGTGTAATACTTAACTCTTTGGCTTCATGGTGGGAGTATTCAATGATGATATCTGCGGTTATCATTAGTAGTTGAATCATAAACGATGTCAGAAAATCATGCTTACCATCATGCTCCAGCTTGTGATTGACCTTGTTGACAGCATTCATCATGGAAATAGATGAGGTTAGGAAAATGATAATTAATATGGAGTCAGAATCGGAATACGTAGAAATTTTTTGAGTTTTAAATACATAATAAATGGCACTAGGTTGGTGTGAAATGACACATCAAGAGTTAGTTATACTCAACACTAGAGAAGCTATCCAGATAAGTTCCTTGACGATCTTGAAGCTTATATCGACATCAAGTGGGTCAAATTTTTGATTAACTGGATTGGATAGCTATGAAATCAGTCTGTGGTAAACGATCCTAGAAAACTACTGAACTTGTATGGAATGTTTTTGGCTTGAGTCTATCTTATGTATGTCAAAGTTGCTAAGCGATAGGAAACGAGCATCTTTATGTGGTGAAAGGGTCAATGTGTTTTAGATAACCCTTTGATTTGGCGATTGGACATGGGTATTGAGTAGTTGCTTAGAATACGTATTGTAGCAACTAATAAATTTGTGAAGTTCTTGCTTTGATAGAGTATGAAACTATTGATAATCAAAGTCTTCGTGTGAATTAGACCAGCACTGATTGTGTAACCAAAGATTCTAGTTATCTCCATCAAATTCTTGATCTAAGGAAACGATTGGTTGATATGATCTTGAATACCAAAGAGAGGGTAGGCATGGATTGTTCAGACAAGCCTAGATTAGCTGATTAGGTAGTTGTTTAGCACGTGCCTAGAAGGTTACAGAGTTTGGTATGCAGGCTTCTGATTGGTCATTACCTTTCAACAGCTGCTGACTAATAACTTTTCATTGTCACCGTTATATTTAACTGCTACCTTTGAATTACAACCACACTTTTCAATAATAGTTTCATTGATTTAATTATTTGACACCTCGACCTGCCCAAATACTTAAATCTGTTTAGCCAATGTCTTACTGAATAATAATCAATCATGGTTTTAACCAGGAAGATGGCAAAAGAGGCTCGCGCAGCTGCTCAACCACCTGCGACTTTCCATGCCTTTTCCCTTCTACCAATTGAATTGAGGACCATGATTTGGAACGCTGCTGAGGATTCACGGCCCGGTCGCCTCATCGAAGTCCACAACATACCAAACCATTATACAATCACTGGTCGCCCGACTTCTTTTGAATGGCATGCGATATTTTGCGGTTGCGAAAAGAGATGCTTTGAGCCTCCCCTGGCGCGAGTAAACCACGAATCGAGAAATATTGCCTTGCAAAGGAGATCGAAGTGTTTTGGACAGTGGGTGGACTGGGACAAAGATATGATATTCATCGGCAGTAGAGTTGGACATTTGCACAATACTGGGTTTCTCCACGCATTGGAAGTACAGAATTGTCGCGAGAAATTGAAATATCTTGCCATCGACTTTGATTGCTGGGAGAACTCATCTATCTTTCCCTGCACACGAAAGGTGGAATGTACCCCGGCTGCGATGATTTCACGATTACCGGGACTCCAAAAAGTGGTGCTTGCTCAAGCTTCGGGTGCTTGGCGGGATGGCAATGAATTCGAGGCACATGATCCTGGCCATTACCACAATATCTGGAGAAGCTTTGACGGGGTCGAGGCTTTTATGAAAGAAGATTTTGATGATCTTGTGAGATCTGAGAAGGAGAAACACACAGAGTGGATATTACAAAATTACTACAAAGGCATTGATGTCCGGAAAGCTTTGCCTGAGAAGGTTGACAAATGGAGATGTTGTGACGAGATTCATGAGGAGATTGGCGAGAATCCGGGATCATACAGACCTGAGTATGTTGATGAGTATAACTATCACTATGGTGGAAGTTGTGGAACTGCATTAATACAATTTGAGAAGATTAAAAATGCCTACTGGTGGGGCACTGGCGATGACCAACACGATTACCACTTTTTAAGGGATTGGATTCAAAAAGACTTTGATAAATTGAAGTCGATCTCCGGGAAGAAATTTCACGGAGATCCCGATTATAATACGTGGAAGCAACCTGAAATCGATTATGCATTGATACGAAGAACGGCCCCTTCTTGTTTCACTGAGGATTGGGAAGGTCTTGAGCGAGAATGGATGTATTATGAAGAGGCAGCCTGGGCGAGGGACCACCCTAAAAGCTACAAAGCTCGAGATAAATCCAAAGACTATCCAGCAGGTCAACATGTGCAAAAGTATACAAAACTTTATCCGGCGTCTCAAAGGTGGCGTCTCGATGGTTAGAAGTTATCAGTAGCGATAGGTGTTTTCAACCCATGGTGTTCAAAAGTCCGGACTGGAAGATTGCAGTTCAGCACTCAACGTTTGGAACAATACAGCACTGACAGACGATTAAGTTTAAGTAAGTACTCGGAATGATCTGAATCTTTTATTCTTCGGGACTGAACACTTCTAATTATCGGTTTGCAGCCTGGACTATTGGAATCCTTGTCCTCAACGATATCTTCGATATGGATGGCGATACGAATGTCTTCAATTTAACCACAAAATTTTGCAACAGATAAATGCTAGCACCACAAAGAGAACATAATTCAGATACCTACAGCTGGGAATTACAGAACCTTAGCCTTACGATAGCAAGTAGCGAGACCAGCTGCCCGACTATGCTTCGGCGACATATACATATTGGGCAGAAGTTACTGCAGAAACTTATGAAACTCTTCCCAACTTCCGAATATCACAACTGATAACGAATCACCTAATCGAGCCATAAGATGTGCAGGAGATAACCTAAAAATACTGTTGCTTCACAATTCGCTTGGTTTTGTCTGTCTGTGTAGGTCTAAAATATTAAGATAGTGAGGGCGCATTTTATTGTTCACTATGGATAATATTAATCCAAGTACAATTGAATGAAGAGATTTATACGAATGGTTCGAATAAAACACAATTCACAACTACATCTCCCGGCTCTAATTGGTTAGCAGTCGTGGAATCTTGGCTCGGATAGCAACAGTGATTGTGACGGATGTTCAATCAGTGCAATAAGGGCTGGTGAAACCAGATTTAGATTGCAGTGAGAATAAAAACATGTTAGCTTATTACTACAACGTGCATAGGATCAAACGATGGGCGATGATCATGGAGAAACTTGATGTAGAAATCTGATCTTAAGACTACGCGCTCAAAACTGAAACGTTTTCTTGAGCTTAGACTCCTATATATTTATAAGTCGAAACAAACTCAAGGATCAACGTGTCCGTCAGAATGACTATTTGAATTCGGTTCCACAAGTTCTTTTTCAACTAGATGATCTGATTTTAGGAAAAGCATAACGAACAGAACCGGAACAAACTACTAGCGAAATATCAAAGTCTATTCTATTCTATTTCCACTCCTGTCTCCGTTATCTATCACTATTATCACTAAATGGGATGTCGAATATTGATATCGGGTTTGGTGTGCAAGAACTAGGGAAGCCACGAGATTATAAATTCGTGCCTCGATATCAAAGAATGAAAACTATCAGCCACGGCTTACTAGCTCGCTTAGCCACATAACTCTATAGGCCCGGGGTACCTAGGTAGTCACGGGTTGCATTTATTCCCATCTCCCGCATGCGCAACTGCCATAAATAACTACGCGTAGGTAGTTTTCAGTAATCTTCACAATCATCAACTGCACCTGATCATAGATCCACCGCGTCGTCGTCGTCGTCAACCTCGTTTCAAAATAACTTGGTGGATGCGAACAAAGTATAACATCGAAAAATGGTTCAGCGAACTGATCAGTACCCGCTTTGAGCTTCGCGGAAGCATCATTCGTCTTCAACATATCTATCCGCACCCATACTTAGCCCTTCTTCATCTTTTCATACCCTTTCCGTCGTGGAACTTTCCGCTATCTGACCCTGTTGCCCCTTCGGCCATCGCCCATAACGAGAAATCGTTCGAGATTCGCAACAAGCATCGTACCACTCTGCGCAATGTTCAAGTCTGGAACGCTCGTGACACTCCACTCCGCTGTGTTTACCGCATGTATGAGATCTTGATGATGGGCGGTTATGTTCCGTTAGGTAGCGAGACGGAATACCTTTGGCGTCAATGGATAAAGAAATGGTCTCTAAGTTCGATACCGGATCCCCAAGATCCTGATCCGGTTCGTTATACAATTGTTGCATGTATCGTGGAAGAATTGGTACGTGCTTTTAATTTGAGGTTGGCTCTGGGAATGCGTCATGATGGGAAAAATATTCGACGGAAGAACGAAGGTGATCCATATCCCCCATATACTCCTGTTGTCGGACCTGATTGGACACGTTCTGTGCCTTCCATTGAGTCAGATATGCTAAAGGATTTACCCTCTGAAATGGTGGTTGAGAGTGGAAAATTGGTTTTGGGATAACGTGGATGCGAGGAAAACTTCGCAAAACGGAATATCATCACAAACGTGGGTTGGTTTTATACAGTGTGATTTTTTTGGTGAAAGACTTTAGGATTCATGAAGCACGGCACACATCATATAATCAACGTGACAGTAAATGCCGAAAGGTTTTTGATATGAGCGAGGCAGAGACCATGTTGAAGAATATGAAAGACGCAAAAGGTCTAGCTGCGGAGTATCATAGGGTCTATGGAGAGGAGGCGTTCGCTTAATTAGGAGTTGACATCGTCAAAGTATCGTTTGATCAAGAGGAATTGAGACACCAAGTATCTAAGTTCGAATGATGATTTGATTGTCAAATTTGAACTGGGATATTGAGGAGTACCACGAGTATGAGCAGAGTCTTTCAATAAATGTAATAACCTTATGTAGTATGTCTCTAGAAATGGCTCAATACAGGGCCATGTGATTAACGCACTGGCAATAAAAATTGCTTGACAGACTTGGCTCTTCATGTTTTCATGTTGTTCGCGTAATGTTCCTCCACCCGCCCAATATTTGTACACCTCATCCGCCCTGTCCCACATTCGAACCAAACTCCACGAGAGGCTTTTCCCTCGATAAAAATTGTATGTCCCATGAACTCCATATCTTTCCCTAGTCCAATAGTACAAGAAATGACCCAAGAATACCAAAGTCGAGCCGAGTAGCGTGATTAGAATTGTTATTGCTCCACCTCTCCTTCTTCTTGCTGGTCCTCTGTACCAGCCCCGGCCTCAGTTGCCGCCAGAGCGGTTTTGGATTCAAGCTCGGAGTCAAGTTCGTTGTCTTTGGGTGCATCATCTTTGTCATTTTGTATAGTATCTTGACTTTCGTCCGGTAGTGTGTTCCCATCGTTTGAAGCTGCAATAGTTTCGGAGCTAGTGTCTTCTCTTCTTGCTCGCTTCGCTAACGGCACTTCTTCTATTTGTTCATCGGCCTTACGTTTTGGGCTGACTATCATGTCAGGATCGATATTTGACGAAACATCATTTGTAGATGTGATTTGGTCATGACTCGAAAGATCATTGGCGGCTGCTTTTAAAGGAGCATCATCTGTTCCAGAGGTAGGCGAAGGTCGAGAATTAACAGCCGTTGAGGTGTATGGCTTGCTATCTGGCTGACTATCTTCAACCTTTTCTTTGGGCTGACTGTCACGAGATTCAGGGTCTGACTGGGAATTGTGCTCCGAAGCATTTGTTCCATTCCCATGGACGTGGCCGTTGCCATTTTGATTTTGAGTACGCTCAGACTTTATAGAAGTATCGGCCCCATTTTGCTCTTCTTTCCCACTTGAAGCATGAAGGTATTTGGCAGCCGTATTTCCGGGTTGGTCTTGGTCTGTGATCTGAAAAGGACTGTTGCTTAGAAATTTATGCAATATTAGTCCAGCTTCAACAATTTGAGCTTCAGTACCCTCAAGATGCTCCCACCAGTCTTTACCCTCTATCTGGGGAATTTCGCATTTTTTAGCAGTCGCGGCGAATAGAAGAGTTGTGATTGCAATAATCCGAGGGCTTGTTATGAGACCTAGAATTGAATGGTGGGTATCGCAGATCAATGCCCATGTATAATTCCTGAGTTCTTTGATTATCGCAGACTCGACACCCACCTTTGTAAATTCCTCAAAGAAACCCACGAGGTATTTCAGCGGAGATGTCGCAGAAAGGTCGAAACATAATAACTCCAACATAAGCTCCTCATACATTAGAATGCTATCACGCCATCGCCAATATTCTTTAGAGCTGGCATCAACTTCAAGCTTCGGGTTCTTCTGGGCAATCTTAATACAGGAGAAAATGAACTGTTTAGTTCCCCGTATAGTCTCTTCGGTCTTTGTCGCGAGAAATAAAGCTGTCGCCGCAATTTCCTAATAAAATCAATTAGTATTGATTGCGCCGGAGATTGTATAACAGAGCTAATCAAGCAGAAATCAAGCAAGCAAAATCATAGTATATGGCCTTACGATTTTGATTCAAAGCGTGGTAAAGTCTACATCGAAAATGTGGCATAGAAAGACGATTCATTAAAACCAAAATAGTTAGATAACAAATACTTACATAGTGATGATCCCGGTGCAACCCTTTTTGTCTAAAACCATGCTTCTTCTGCGCATATAGAAACGATGAAAGTAAAGACTTGCGACGCTCACAGTGGTCATAGGGATATGTAGCATATTCCCGATTGATGACATGAAAGAAACACCTTTTGCTCTGCGATACGCCTCTTCCTCGGGCGAGAGACCTTCTAGAATAGATGAGTGGCTTTAAGCTCTGCCCTCTGTGAAGAGCCATTGATCGGGAACTTTAGTCGGCATTTCTGATACCAATGCGTGCTTTGTTTGACCGAAAGGTTGTTCGGGAGGTAGGTGATGATTTGACAATCGCGGAGGCGAAGGAACCGCCAGTGGTATATACTTCTCAGTTATAATTGAGGCGCAAGAAGATGGAGGTCGAGTGTGGTTTGAATGATCATCCGGAAATTCGAATTCGGCAGTAAGATGTTGACCGGCGGTGGTCATAGGAATGAAGAGGTGTGATAGAATTTGATTTGCGATCGCGAGGCTGTGGTACACGCAAAATCTTGCTTCGTCTACGGGGAGGCTGTCAACTTTAAACAAGTTTACAATGGCCTTGCAAATTCAGGTGGTGAAAACATGTACAATTCCAATTGTGCTATCGTTAAAATGCATTATCGATGGAATTCATGTCACAATACCAAAAGACAAGACAATTGAAATCAAAATCGCGATAGCTTGAATCGAGCTAGTCATATCTTAGCGTCAATCATGACACACACGTGATTTCGTGGATACGCGCCAAAAATCTACCGCGTCTTGATAGCTAAATCGTTTCTTGTCTACCGTATACAGTATGGAGTACGTATCAGCTATCATATCATTAATTCGACTTACGATCAAACATATACCGAATGACTGGATACATTCCGCAGGCATGGCGATGACTAGGCGTGTGTCCTCTAAATCAACATTCTTCAGGAATCAGCATATCGACGGTCATGTTGCCAGGCCACTTCAACGCCGACAATGGTTGTATTATTTGACTCGATCGAAGTGATATCGTGGAATTGAAACCCACAACCAAGTCCAAGTGGATAATATTTGGCTGTAGCACAAGATCCTGAGTAGGTCAATTCTCATCATATCATAATTGTAGAGTGTAATGCTTTGTGGAATTTACTCTAGGGATGAATTCGAGCAGCTCATGGCGGAAGTTCCGCAATATGAGACATTCTTTCTAGACGTGAACCGCATTTCTGCTTAAGCATTCCAACTCTTCATCGCGCCAAGCCCCAAGCTTTGCGTCTTAGTTATAGTCAGGATACCCTCATAGATATCATCAATCTATTGCTGTCATGTAGAATCAATAGCGGGTCTTCAATATCCAACATTATGATTCTATCAAATCTGCTCATAGCTTCTCTAGGCATCATTTCAGTCACCTTGTCTCAATCATCCAGTGCCACCAATGTTTGCCTAGATGCACTCTCATCAGAGCCTAATGACGCCAAAAGTTTTTGCAATCATTATTTAGTCTTGAGCGATATTCCTATCCCTTCATTTGTATCACCGTGTTTGGCCACCGACCCATCTGACAATCAGTTATTTAAATCTTGTTACGAGCTGCTTCATCAATTGGAGAAACGAAGTTTCACTACCTGAAGTGTCACATCTCGGCGTGATTGAATGGCCTGTCAAGCGTGGGAAAACATTACCTCGCGACGGAGGCTTCTTTAATACAGGAAGTGTTCAATCAGTAACAACCAACATTGGGACATATGATAATTACGGATGTTTTGAAGATGGCACTCGGGGAAAACCTTTGGGCTCTCCACTGCTCAACATGACTGGAACCGCCGCGGACACAATTCAGAGTTGTGTAAATGCATGTTCTATCTCGGGCAAAATGGAATACCATACCGCTATGCCGGCATAAAGCCTGGATCTTGCTGGTGTTCTAATTATATCTCGATACTCGCCGTTAAAAGCTCTTCGTTTTGTCAATCAACTTGCCCGTCTAATTATGGCAAATATTGTGGGGGTATCGTTGGCGGAATACTTCACATGCAGATATATGAGTTAAAAAATGTGAATCCTATGTCGACGACATCTGTGAAAACGAAATCTTCTTCGTTGAAGTCTTCTGTTAAGTCATCCATCTCAACTTCACAATCAGAGACTACATCTTCATCCAAACTCTTGAGTTTGACGACACAAACGAGCAGTCTAAAGTCTTCGTCGATTTCCAAATCTTCTTCTTCTAGCTCAACCAACCCCATTTCTAGTATATCAACAGTCCCTACAATTTCCACGACGAACAACATACTATCTACCTCTCTTCCACCAATTATCGAAATACCATCCACCGCTAAATCATTCGGTTTACCTCCCGACCCTCCAACTATTCCTCCAATCGTTGGTCCTACAGGCACAGAAAGTTACATTCTACCATCGGGTACTTCCGCTTACCCGAGTGAACTATCAACTCCCACCTCATCATTCGGCTTGCCTCCCGATCCTCCAACTATTCCTCCTATCGTTGGTCCCACTGGTTCCAACAGTTACATTCAACCGTCAGGTACCTTTGCTTACCCTAGTGAAGTTTCTCCTACAGGTAAATCCAATCCTTGGGCATCTCTAACACTTGAGGAGCCTGACTTTTGGACACAAGTACCTTCTGACGCAGTTCCAGGCTTTGTAGAACCAACGATTACTCCTCAACCCATCTCCACAGCAACATCTCCCCCTCAAAAGGTTAAACGCGAGTATGATATCACCGCCCCTGATAGTCCATTGCTTTCTCTGTTTCCCCTAAACTCCCCAGATATCCTTAAGGAAGTTCTTCCCGGCCAAGTTCCAGGATGGGATCAACACGCCATAGCTAAAGAGAAAAAACTCAAGTCTCGGGAATATAATATAAATGCTCCAGATAGTCCCTGGCTTCCTCTTCTCCCCCTAACTTCTCCAGAAATTCTCAAAGAAGTCGCTCCTGATCAAGTTCCAGGTTGGAAACAACAAGCTATTGTTTCAAGATCTCATATAATGAAACGTGAATACGATATCAATGCCCCTGACAGCCCCTGGAAACCCCTCTTCCCTCTTACCTCCCCAGAAATCCTCAAAGAAGTCGCCCCCGTTCAAGTTCCGGGCTGGAAACAAAAACCCGTCTCCCCGCCGCCCTCACCCGCAAAACGCGAATACGATATCAACGCCCCCGACAGCCCCTGGCGACCCGTCCTTCCCCTCTACACCCCCTCCATCCTCAAATCCGTTCCCGAAGACCAAGTTCCCGGTTGGCGAGGCCAAGCTTCTGCTCCTCTCATTCCCGATTCCAACATTCCTCCACGAACTAAATCTAAATCTAAACCCAAAACCAAACATCGTCGCCAACTCGGGCCTCTCCCAGAAAATTTCCTCGAACCTCCCGGCCGTCCAGATTTTATCAAAGCCTTCCCAGAAAAAGACAACAACAAACACCTCCCCGCACCCTTCAACAAAATGCTCGGTGCCGTCGACCCCCAAACCGGCAAAAAATTACCCATCCCAAAGCCGAAACCCAGATACAGCCATTCGAAAATCAGCCTGCAGAAATTCCCCAGCTTGAAAGAAATCGGATTGGAACAAGACGGGAGAGAACATCACAACAAAGAGCGCATAGATGAAGATGAAGATGAAGATGAAGATGAAGATGAAAAAACCGAAAACGCAAAAAGAATCTCGGATCTGCAAAAAATTAGAGATAGACGCTATGCGCACAAACTCCATTTACAAGGAACGCCCAAAGCGTATGCGGAGATGCGCGAGAAGAGCGAGGGAAGGGTACGTAAGGGACAGAGGAAAATGAAGATGGAGGAGTGGGAGGAGAGGATTTTTAGGGGAGTGAGGGAAGAGGGAGGGAAAGGGGAGGATGGGTTGTTGGGGAGGGAGGATGCGATTGTTGATCGTGGGGGTTTGGGAGGGGATGAGCAGGAACTGGGAGGTGTGGATGGGGAGGAAGAAAATTGGATTGGGAGAACTTGGAGTGGGAAGAGGAAGGGGATGAAAATTCGTTTGGAGAGGTAAGGAGAAGAGTATTTACTTGGTGGATGAATGGATAGATAGATGGATGGATGGAATGAAGATTCCCGAAATTTGAGTTTTGAATATTGAGTTGGAAGCACTACCTACAGCAATTTGAATATTAAATTGAAGATCAGACACCGCATGCATAATCAACTAAATGAATATTTCATAGTTAAATCCAAATGCGAATACAAATGAGAATATAAATGAGAATACAAATTAAAACATCAACAAGAAACTTCCAATTCCACCACACAATAACATTTTCCGCTATCCATCCATCCATCCATCCATTCATTTATTTATTCAGTCATTCATGTATCTATCCAGTTATCTATTTATCTATCTATCCATCCATTCATTCACTTTCCACTACTCCCTACTCTACAAATAACCCTACCTACCTACCTACCTACCTACCCAATCATACAAATTTTTTCTTCTTTTCTTCTTTTTTCTTCCAATACACTTTAGAATTTCAGCGTTTGAAATATAATCCTCCCGCAAACATTTTCACACACCCACCCACACCTGGGGATTTTTGGGATTTTATTTTATTTATTTTTGTTTTTCTTATATACTGATATACTTACTACCTATTTATTCATTTATTTATTTCCATAATTGAAAAACCAAACCAAACCAAATCAAACCAATAAACAAACAAACAAGCAAGCAAATCGCAGATTCAAGTCCATTCATTCGATTCTCAAAAATCCATCTACATATCCACCCATACATACATACCCACATACATGCATCTCATATATTGCACTCCAAATACCTACCTATGCTATTCAATCCTTTCCAACCCTCCCCAATCCTCTCCTCTCCAACCAAATCCTAATCTATGATACCCTATTTCCTATACCCTATACCCTATACCCTATATATAGTATACCCAATATCCAAACCATCTTACATCCCCCTCTTATAAGTTTTCACCACCCTCCACCCTCCTTCCCCCCCCTCTCCTCACCCCAAAAAACCCTCACCCCACAAACCCCATCCCCGATAAAATCCTCATCTATAATCATCCCTCCCTCCCCTCCCCTCCCCTCCCATCTTCTATTCTCCCTTTTCACTTCTATCCCCGCATCATACCATACTATACTATACCATACCATACCCAACAAAAGAAACCAACCAAACACACGCAGATATGCCAATGAGCTAGCCAAACAAAGCAAAACAAAACAAAACAAAGCAGTCTCCTATGTTATGAAATATAAGTCAAGGAAGATATAAATAAAAAAACGAACGCAATGCAATGCAATGAAACCACACCACCCAAGAGCCGTAAAAGGTAAGAAGAAAAAGAAAATGCCCAACACCATTTGCTATGCAGGTATCTAATATGTATTTCATATACGCTAAGAAGGAGTGTATCCATTCAAATCCTCCAATCCATGTCCAATCAATCAATCAATCAAAAGTTCCTAATGCTCGAACCAAAAAATGTACTGGAGTATCTGTAACAATACTACTCATTATCCAACCATCTCATACTTTTTCATCCAACTCGATAATTACCACTTCACTCCTTTCGGATCAACAGTGTATTTATATCCAATTCCACTACTTTCATCCCCTGTACAAAATAATAACCCTCCCACTATCTTCTGATCCGTCCATTCCAGCTAAAACTAAACAGATCGCGCTTCATCATCACTGCATCATTACTTATGCAGCGAATTTCCTAAATCCCTCTACACCCAAAGTAGGAACCTCGACCCATTTCAGGTTTGGTACTCCCTCCGACCTTCTCCTCTCAACAAAGTTATTGCACTCTCCAACAATCTGCATCCATTCCGCTAACGCCCTACCCGCATATTTCGATCTCGCGAATCTATCTCTCCCCGCAAGCTTTGGATCCATAGGTGCTACTTCCTTACTCATTCCTGGAACTCGAGCGCCAAGCCATGCATGAGCTGGGGCAGGAAGACGAGGCGGTGTAAGTTTTCTTTCATTTGAAACATTAGAACCAGCAGGTCCTCTACCGGCTGCGCCACCTTGGAGGATCGAATGTGCTTTTTCGAAATTTTGAGCCCATTCCAAAGAGAATTTAAAGCTATAGGCACGATGAGATGCAGTAGCTGGAGGAGTTTCGCTGTCACTTGAATTTTTGGAACGAAGGGCGGGTCTAGTTCTTGCCACAGATGTAGCTTTCCTTGCTTCCTCGAGTGCTTTCTTTTCCGTTGCAGGTTTGACAGATGTGGAAGGAGAAGCAGATGATTCAGGCGAAGAAGATAGAGATGGGATGATTTTCCCCATAAACGTCCACCTTTTCTTGTTCGGAGTGGTGGGTGCTTCGCTAGCAGGTGTGGGAGGTTCATTTTCGTTTTCTTTGTTTTCTATTTGTGCCAGATCTCCTAGAAGTGACTGTCTTTTGTATGCACTAGACGGTTTTCGAGGTAGATTTGAAGCGTTATTAGTTGTCATTAAGCCATCGAATCCTAGAAACAGATTTGGCGCAGGTATTTGTGTATCATTACGGATGATCAGAAGTCGTCGGCCAGGTGCTGGATAACAAGGTGTCGTAGATGGAGGAAGGAGGTCGGAACTCTCAGCCGTTTGTTTGAGGAAGAGGTAATTTGCCCAGGTACCCTTGATCCGCGAAGAAACAATACCAAAGATTTTTCTGTATTTGAATTAGTCAATGTGCCTCACAGAAGGTGGATAAAATGTGACTCACGTATCAAGATCAGTAGCTTCCCCATCCTCGCGGCACAATCTCCAACATAACAAACGCATATAATATGCTCGGACCATGGGACACCAATGATTGAAGAACTTGTCAAATGTCTCCTCGGTAAGCAACCACTCCAAACACAAAATCTCCTTTCGAGTTTCATTATTTGTGACAAGGTTCCAGGCAGAGTAGAGAAATGCGAATAGACGAATTTCTGACATACTGTTCTGGCTCTCCAGAATCTTTCTGCAAACATCCAGCCAGAAATGCCATTCGATGAAATCATCTTCAAATTCATGAGCATGATGGAAGCGAACAAATAGTGAAAGTGCTTCATCCATGAAGTCGCACAATACGAAACACGCATTATGGTCATACAAGGACGTCCTTCGTGCTGAAGCTTGCATCATTTTGCTAAAAGCCTGGGCGAAAGTCATTCGGGCAGGTTCAAAGTCGGCAGGTCTTTCAGAAAGGAAATCTCGAAGTAACATTATTAAGCGATTTTCGGCCATTAGCCTAGCAGAGTTGGTGGAGGGGAGAGGCAGAGCAGCAGCAGACGCATCGGCACCCGCAAGTACGTCGTCAAAGGTAATTGGAAGTGCTTCAACTGCTGGTTGACGATGAATTGTAGCATCCAGAGCAGTCAAAATCTGTGCTTGAACCAAAACAAATCCTGGCGCGCGCGCTTTGCTCGCAAATGGAAGATCTGAAGGCATAAATTGCTCGGCCAAGATATGATAATGTTTCGAAAACACATAGAAAAGATCACTATCTCGTCCGCACCATCTAGCAGCCCACGGGCCATACCATGGTATCTTGGAAACAAGAATTGATGATGTAGGATTTTTCCGCAGCTGATTAGACATTGTCATCACTGACGTCCAACCCAATACTCGAACATTGGGCGGAAATGTAGCAGCGACTTCTTCAGTTTCCACCTTATTGGGTCGTTTTGGTAAACCCAATTCATCGGCAACACGTTTCAAAGTGTCAGCCGGTATTTTCCATATTCGAACCAGTATTTCTGAAATGCCAGGCACAAAAAAGAAAGCATAAGCAGCAGCCTTTCCACAAAATGTGACCAGACTTGCAGGAGCATGTCTCAGTGACATTTTGGCAACCACAAAGTGCATCTGAGATGTCAAATTTTGAATAAACAAATTCCTGACATTGTGGTAGACAGACTCGGCTAAAAATTGTGATCCTGATGAGTTTAGAGAGCTTGAAGATTTTCTCCCGCGTATAGACATGCGCTCAGTGCGCTCAGGAGATCGGTTAGGAGACCTTTCCGACAGGGGCGAGAATTGCGATGGTCCGAGTCTCCATTCCGGCCGTGTCATGATCATCACAATGGCTTCAAGCAGTACAGGACGATCTACACCAGATACTATTTGATTAGCACGTCCATGTAGTACTTCCAGAAGCCCAAGCCACCATTTATTAAAGATGTTAATTCTTCTATCAATATCTTCTGGGCGAAGACATCTATTAGAAGGGTGGTTGATATTATTTCTAAGAAATGGTAATAATGTAGAGCGAACGACGTTGGTTTTTAACGATAGTGATTTGGATTGAAATTTAGAGTAATCGTTTTCTAACCCTCGGAAAGCCTGCCAGAGTTCATCTCGTTTTCGAGGTGTCTCAACACTCAGAAGCTTTTCCGTGGAGAAATTTTTGGGTAGCGGAGGGACTTTATCAATTGAAGTCCTCGGAGTAGATCTGTTATCTATTGAGCTACCTGGTAGACTGCTGGTGGATGAATTGACGGAACCGAAGCTTGCGATACCCAGTATACTACTCGGTCTCTGCCTGATCTTTCGAAGAGTTGAATTCCTCTTCACGGGAGGTGGCTTAGATGGGCTATCGATATCCTCAACCGTGTGGTCGAATTTCGCGGGGATGACTGCCGGAGGGGCAAGTATAGTGGTCGCCATTTTCGATGGCCCTTCACTTCTCCCATCGCCCTCAATTTGTTTTCCTGCTTTTCGATTACTTGGGGATGGCGATCTCGACGATGACGAAATCCAAGACTTTCGTGCAAACATAGCAAAAGATTCCGATACAGATTTCGTCTTATCTCTGGAAGCCTTGGGAATCTGCGGCACTGGCGGTGCTTCGTCTGGTGTTGAATTGGCATATTCAGGAGCGGGGTGTCTCTCGGGTGATCCCTTCACCTTTTGAATCCAAGACTTTGGACGTGCCACGAGTGATTGTCTCCTCCCAACTCTCTCATTCTTTGCCTTTTCTTCCTTCGTGAGTTGGTTGGTCGATTTTCCTTCTCGGATGGAATTTGATTTTGGCGAAGGTGTTTCAAGTTGTGGGAAGGGAAACGATGGGGTGCTCGCGGCAGAGTTCAGTCTATGCAATTCCCCTTCATTATAATCGGTGCTCGCATCTTCAATGGTTGGTAAGGTAGTGAAACTCGCAGATCGTGGCAGTTCGGTATCGCTATGAATGGAAGATCTCTTGTACTCAACATTAACTAAATCGGGAATATTGGAAGAAGAGTGAGAACGAGGGAAAGTATTCTTCGATTCGAAGACCGAAGGCATTGTCAAGGTAGAACCATGCATGTCCGCAACAGACTGCGTAGAAGCAAAGAAATGTAGCAGAATTTAGATGAACATTGCAATTCTTTTTTTTTCTACAAATGGAGATTCAAACGGACAAACAAACAAACGAGTGACAGATTAGTCGCGCGTTCTCTGACCTGCAGAGATGTCGACTGATTTGATGAGGCTGAGTAAATTTCCAAGATCGAATTCCTTCTGGAATAGAATATGTTTTCAAAAGCTAGGGTGGTAGGTAGGGTAACGAAGGTTGTTGGAGGATGGTGCCTGAGTCTTCCGTTTCACAATCTCTCGAATTTAAACGATTGTGGATACTTTTTTCCTCTTCTTTCTTGTAGGAATTCGGAATTGTAGAGGAAAGAAGGAATTGGATTGAAATTGGATTGAAATTGGATTGAATCGGATTGAATTGAATAGATTCGACTTGAATGTGCAAAGAATTAGTAGGAATTGGGTTGGTAATTCTTTGAAAGAGGGCGTAGTTAAACGTGAAAGCGAATGTGAATGTGAATATGAATGTGGTGGGTAGTGGTAGTGAGTGGGTGGGAGTGGTAGTGGTAGTGGTAGTGGTAAGATAGGCACTTCCGGGATTGTCGCAAATTAATTAACCACGATATAAAAATGTCGTATCTGATGGGGGAAAGTGGTATACAATCCGTATATATGTATATATGTATGCACAAACGAATGTCGAATTTATGTAGATGTTTCCGTTAGAAGGAATATTTTGGATGGAGAAGAAAAAGAGGAGAGCGTCAAAGGATGTGCGACGATGATGATGGGATGAAGATGCATGAGACAGAAAGAAGAAAGTGACGAGAGCGAATGAGAAGGAGGAGAAGAAGGAGGAGGAGGACAAGAAGAAAGAGAAAGAAAATGTGAAAATTAAAGACAAAATCACGATAAAATCAACATGGTTCAATCAATTAAAAACGTGCATTTTGATAGCGATGAGGGATTGAGTGAGGACTGAGGAGTGAGAAGTGCCAGATGAAGTGTAAGGCTAGCCGTTGACCCTGAGTGAGTGGTGAATGAAGGTGGAGTTTTTCCTTAACTCAATGAGGCTGGGCTTAGGATTAATTGATTTGATAGAAGAGGATAGCTCGATTGGATGTGTCTTTCGTCTTTTCCTTGACATCTACTTACTTACCTAGGTAGGAGGTAAATGATGATGCTATCTCGATTGTTCTGTTCGGTCTACTAGGGATGGAGTAATATCCTTTCCAATAGATTTCATTGGAATTCACAAAAAGATAGGGATGAGAACGATGCAACACAAGACAAGACAACACAATACAACACGACATAACATCAGTCAGCATCGGTATAAGACCCAGGAGGGAGTTGGTATACAGAGGATTATGTCGGTACTATACAAAGGAGTATGGAGTATGTATCTAGGAAGTGATAATCGACATCTAGATCGAGTAAGATTACATAGGGAGGGATAGGATATATTCCGCACAGAGAAATCTCTGGCTTCAAATATCAAATCCCTAGTACACCATATCAAATATCAAATATCAATAATCGAATATCAATAATCGAATATCAAAGGGTCCAAAAGAACAAACGTGCATTCATCAATTATACCAAAGTCCTTCATTCATCCCGACACTTCGGAATCAGGACGAGTCCAAGCACACAATTTGATGGAAGAGAACGACCAAGTGTTGAATAGAGTAGAGTAAGGGATCATCGACCTGAGGTATTTGAGGGATCTGTGAATACCTAAATAGACCCTGGATATATACCTAGTATATACGAGGTATTATACTCGAGTATGCATATCTACAAAGTATAATACTACCTATCTATACTATCTACATACATACACAAGTGTACTCGTACTCAATTCTATGACACGTCCGTCTTCAGTAGAAAAATGCTCATCACTTCATTGGATATACTATACGATTGATTGGTTGTATGTATGTAGCATGTATCAAAAGACTGTCTGGTCTGTAGCGGCTCGTACTTCCATTTCCCATATCCTCTCTCGCCTCTTCATTCATTAACCCCCCCTTCCCCCCCTTATCATGGCCTCGCAATGGATTGATACCAAGCATCCAATTAGCCAACAAAAATCTATTTTTAGTTCGACATGTCGTACGTATTAGTTTACGTTCATGACCTTGATCTATCTATGATTCTGACATGTTGCATGTGTGATATGCAGGCAATGCAGACCAGTACGAGGAAGCGCAGGCAGGCGTGGAAACCGAACAGCGCAAAGAGAAAGTGGGCGATAATTGTGCAATCGCACAGCTTTCACGGAAATCCCTAGCCAAGGCGATAATATGTTGTGCTCTTCCAAGCTTTCCATTTGGCCCCTTAAACATCCCTTGAGCATAAGAACATGGATCGGTCTATTCCCCTCTTCGCAATGCCTTTATCGCCCATAAAACGTCTTTGCTTTCCGCTCGTGTTTCTGAGAAATTTCCACCTTGAAACCTTTACGAAAGGATACTTTACTTCACATAATCGTTCCTTTTGTGGGTACATGTTGTACCTCTTCGGGTCTGTCGGATTGATACGTTATGATTGAAGAGAAATCTCACCGAGATTCGATTTTCGCAAATCCGTAAATCCTTGAATGTTGTCATAACCGACAGAGATCATTACGAATGTTCCGCGCTTGTTGAGATAGCATGTGGGTGGCTATGTGGCCTGGTGGAGACACTTATGCTGGTTGGATGCAACGATGTTTCGTAGATCTCAGCAGGGGAAGTCTCATATCCGAGATTTGATGCCAAGATATCGAAAGATGTTGAAGAAATAATGATACCGTGAACATATACACACACAGAAATTCGCAGACTTTGGCAATGGTATTTTGGAAATTGCCAATCAATGAAATAAGATAACTTTCCGAAGTCCTACTCAAGATTTAAGAGTAAGGGGCTGTGGAGTCCTGAATTGTTGAATCAAAATACATCATCTACTTCTTCCAACCTGCTGAGCCTGCTGAGCCTTTTCCAAAAAGGAGCTCCTGCATACCATGTTGTGGCGAGAGTACTCTGTACATAAGCTCTAGGTATCCCAAAACTTGCATGTCTTAGGTCGTATGCCTTTGAAGCCACCACCAGATTGTGCACAGTTCCTAACTTCCTGTCTGCATGTCAAATACTGCAATGCTTATCGGAAAAGGAACGTGGATATAACTGCTTGGTCTCCTTCATGCAATGATTCGTTGTCTTTTTCCTGAGATTACGCAAGATGCATATTCTGCCATCCGAAAGCAAGTAAAAGAACACAATAAGATAACGGGAGAGTGTTGAAATGTGACGATGTAGAGAAATACCAGAATTGAAGAGATCCTTCTCCCAAGAACTCATTGCGTCCAGAGCAGTGGTCCGCCTTCCTCGTTTGATCTCCATGGGTAGTGCTCAAACTGGTATAGGATACACGTTCTTCGTGATTCTCACACGCAGAGTACGTACATAGACACAAATGATAATACATACACATACAGCCTTATCAAAGAAGCCGTCTTGGCTTTCAGATGTGGCTAGCGGTTAGGCTCACTATTGGTTGAATATTCTCCGTTCATAGTTTGAGTACCTATCTTCTGTCGAATTTCACGAGATCAATACAAGGTAGAGAAAACACATAGTACCTGGTAGTCTTAAGACCGCGTCGGTCTACTTGTTAATCATATCATTGACATTATTTGAAAACATTCGGTATATATATCCATAGGTATGTCAATTTCTAGACACGTGATATGTAGGTAAAAGGGTGACGGCAGTACTGGTTGGTTGGAATTCATTCATAGGAATAGGACGAACGAACCAGTCATTAGCTACCTAGTAATAATACCTTTAAATGTTACTAGGTGGGTGGCTAGTTTCATCATTTAATTTGTCAGCCTTGCATGCACGGCTGTGATTGTTCGCCTTCCCCACAAAATTATTTAATTGTCAAAGTTCCAATCACACCACGAAACAATTGCAAGAACACCACATCATCACTCCAATTCAATACCGCAACTCCATTTACAACTGTTACTCTACCACCTACAGTAACAAATTCACTGGCCAAAATACAACTACTTCACATCCAATCTTTCCTAGGTACTCATAACTACCCAGATTTCAAATATAACATCATTTTCAAAATATAAAATAAACCCGACGTCATCTCAATACTCCATCACATTCCGTATAACGAACATCCAACGACATCCATCATGGATCAACTTCCGCCCGAGATTCTTGACTCGATTCTTCAAAAGAACATCGAGATATGTCGCGACCATAAATCCCAACTTTTGGATTTGCGATTGGTATGTAAAGCGTTCGATCAAGGCTTAAGAGCATCAATCTTCAAGACGACCTCGTTGGAATTCTCGCGATTCATCCGATTCCGAAATATCGATGACAATCCAGATGAATTGAAAACTCTCAAAGATATAGCTTCATTATCATCCTCCATCTATATTGATATGATGATAACTCGAGATACAGGTATGCGTTAATATCCTTCCCCTCGTCCCTCAATTGCATCACATCACTTTATATGCGCATGAAGCAGTCTACATACTGTGCGCGCTGTATCATTTTACCTATCAGCGAGGCATTTAAAAGTTAACATATTTTTCAGATGAAATTGATCAACTTAAAGAGACCTTCAACGCTATCTATGCTGCGGTTCCTGAGATGGCAGACTTGATTGACTCCCTTCGATCATATTGCCTCAACAAGACCACATTTACAGAGGAGGATTACACTCGTCTACTTCGCAGAGTCATGCAGAACGGTCCAGATATAACTCGACTTAAAATTAACTTACCATTCCAGGTTGTCAGCAATTCTTTCATGACATCTACAAGGTTATTCGCGAACACTCTAGCATGTGCGGCGAATCGTCCAGAGGAGCACCAAAAGATAGATACACTGGTTCTAGATCACATCACTGATGTCACAATCAATAGTCTATGCAACGTGCACATCGATGTCCAAAATGCTTTCAAAGTATTTGAAAATCTAAAAAGCTTAATGATATCATGCAAGAGACAAGAAAGCAGAACATCACTACAAGCGGTTTTTGCTCGAAATTTCTGGTTGTTAATTGGGAAAGCCAAGGATTTGGAAACCTTGTGTATCATTGGATGGAACGTGGCGCAAACCACCAAACGTATAAGAAATAAAAGAGTCGCGTCCAGGATGACGAACGAACAGTGGACCATGCGGTGCCTCCCATACTATCCTAGCAAAAGACTTGTCCTTAGCAAGTTGAGGTGTTTGGAATTAAAACGGATGGATCTAGACCCTTTGATGCTGCTGCTTTTGATCAAGGAAACCAGTCATTCCTTGACAGAATTATACCTGAATGATATCGGTCTCAAAGTTAATGGTTCGACGGATCGAGAGAATACCAGTCTATGGATAGGTCATCAAAAAATCAAGAAGCCCAAGGAATGCACATGGGTCGCTCCAGCCATTCGAGATATTGAAGATCTCAATCTCAAGATTCTTCGAGTTAGTAAACTTGGCTATGATGATTACAGTCCAGACCTTGATTCGGAACATCCCAATTATGATCTTGACGACCCTACTGGACACAATCAATCCTTTGATCAAAGGTTTGTGGAAGCTGTCATGGGTACAAAAGCCCCGCTGCCCCTCGAGTTGCTATCCAATACATCTTCTGGAGTGGAGAATCCACATGAAAAGTCAACCTATGCTGAAGTTGACCCGAATACTTACGATGCTGAAATATATCAAAAGAATCACAACACAACATCGAACTACAAAAAATCCATTGATGGCGTCTTCTCCAACAACAATGAACGGGCTTTGAGGGAATTGCAAAATATAGTCAGCGTTGCCGACAGAGGCATGGCATTACTTACCAGAGGAGTGGAAAGAGGCACTAGCTTGACTGCCGATCCAATTTCTGGCGCAATTGTCGATCCTCCAGTTGGTACCTGAATAGTCTGACGATAAGCTGGAGCCCCTCAATCATGACTATATGAGACCACATATCTGCGATATGGGCGTGTTGATACTGCAATTTGAAATAATTATGCTCTATCTATGACCTTACTATTTAGGGACAGCAAAATTTCCTCCCCGCAATTTTCAAATGCTAATTGGAGACATACTAATCTCTAGTTTGAGATTCTCTGTTCCGTCACATAAACTGGGGACATGACCAAAACACATACTAAAACCTTTAACCCAAGAAGGATTATCTTTAACTACCTAGGTACAGCTCCCATCAAGTCAGGTGATGTCAGGAGTATAGATGGTTTCGTCGCAATTTTTACTTTAAGCGCCTAGTCTGGGACACCAACAGGTGGCAGATTAATCGAGCACCCACTTTTGTCCCAAAAAGTTAGTTTCATTTCTTATACTATTGGTCAGATCAGTCTTCGACAATGTACTTTTTATCTTACGCAAGTTCCAACAATTGTCTTCGTGGCAATACATCACGATCATGCAAACATTCTAGCATGCTTTCGTTCTCCTTTCCACACACGATATCAGCTATTCAGTTTTAGCAGGCAGATTTGTTCTAGTCGCTAAATGCGCAAGTTGCTTAGAGTAATATGAGAATTTAATTTTTAAAGAATCTTTAATTTGGTAGGATCTACCTGCTTACATGTCTTCGCAGGACCGCAACATGGTTATCTTAGATTTTTGAGGCCCATCATACGGTTTGGCGGAGTAAGACGGTGCTCGTAGGCTTGGGCTGTTGGGATAGAGGGATAGAAGGTCCATAGCAGATAGAGGAATGATTATACTTAATGACCTCTGGTCCACACTTGACTTGTCCCGACCTGGGATTTTTTTTTTACCAACCAGTGAGCCAACCTACTGTTTTCTCTTTTCTTTTTGAGATTCATTCTTAGTTGAAAGACATCAACATCTACATACACAATCAGTCTCAAGACGAAGTCCAGAATCTAAATATACTACATTCTCATCCTCGTCTTGCCAATTATTGAATACAAACTCGCCTGCTTACCCTCGTGTCACTTGTTCGCGTGGATCTTCAAAAATCGAATCTAGAAACCTAAAGAATAACAGAAATTGATGATTGATCTTTTGAGAATAGGTGGTGCTTCATTTTTTGTCAAGTTGAAGGATTGAAATCTTTCTCTCTGTCTCTTTTCCTTTTTTTTTTCTCTTTCATTTTCCTTGCTTTCTCTGCTTTCTATTTTCATTCATATCTTTCCTGGAAAAGAAAAGAGAGTGTCCAAATTTGAAAAGCTATGTCAATTTCTCGTCAGGGCACGATGAGGGAATGTATGGATACGCAGGTGCATATCCTTTTTTCGCCTTGGATTTGGAGAATGAGAGGAGGGTGGATGAGGATGCGAGTGCGAGTACGAGTGCGAAGGATATGAATGTGAATGTGGATGTGGATGGTTGTGGTTATGGTTATGGTTATGCTAGCGAGAATGGGAATGGAAATGGAAATGGAAATGTGAGTGGACATCAGATGGGCAAGGCGAGACAACATCATGTAAGGCATATTTCTTCGGCTACGACGTTGATTGTGGCGAGAGAGGAGGAGGATGAGGGGGATAAGGTGCGAGTTCCAGAGAAGGTGTTGATTATTGGGAAGGCGGGGGTTGGGGATGGGGATGGGGATTTGAATGGGGATGTGGAGGAGAGAGGTGAGAAGAATGATGATGGGGAGTTGGGGTTGAAGAGGAATGCGACGGGTTTGTCGATGGGGGGATTGGAGGTGTTGGTTAGAGATGAGGATATAGAGCTTGAGGGTGGGGAGGTGGGGAGATATGGGAATGGAGATGGGAGTGGGAATGGGAATGGGATAGAGGAGGTGGGGGGGAGGATAGGAAAGGTTTTGAGGTGGGATGAAGTTGGTGAGTTTTTTCTTTCTTTTTTTTTCTTCTGATTTTCTTCTTTGGGGTTGGTACTATGGGGATGTGTTGCAATGATGCGAATGTACTTGCGGAGATTTAAGGGGGTGGGTGGGAATCGATAAGTACTCATACTGATGATTTTTCAAAGCGGAATGGAGACAAGATAACGAATATATTCTCACTGGATATCGGTACGTCTTCTCTCCTTCTCACTTCCCTCAAAATAATCCATATTACACACAACTATCATCCTATCCTCTCACCAAACTGACTCCCCCTCCACAGACCCGAAACCAAATCCTCCCTCCAATCCTTCAGAAGTGTATTTCATCTGCACAACGAAACGAGTGATTTCCCTCCTCCCCCTCCCTTCCTTTTTTCCTCCCATATCCACCTCTCAAACTAACACGAACATCTCATCAGTAAACATCCATTCCCATCTCCTCGGCGCAGTCCTATTTGCACTTCTACCCATCTATATATATCACACATTACTCCCTCGCTACCACGATGCCGCGACCGCAGATGTTGTAGTTTTTGCGCTGTTTTTTGGAGGCGTGGCGGTGTGTTTTGGATTGAGCTTTTTGTATGTTTTTCTTGCTTTTTTTTCTCTCTCTTTAGATTGATTATCTCTTTGTGGGATAGTTTTCTGCTTTTCTCTTGGGTGTGGTATTCTTTATTCTTCGTTACTACTGTCTTTTTAGCACTTTTTGGGGGGGGGTGGATTGTGTGCATTTTATATCAAAGGAAAGAAAAGGAAATCAATACTAATTCTTCATCTACGCACGCAGATATCATACCCTCAATAACCATAGTCACCACACCGCAGCTTTCTGGATCGAGCTCGATTATCTCGGTATCGTGGCGCTGATGTGGGGAAGTACGGTTGCGACCATCTATCACGGATTTATATGTGATGTGAAACTCCAGAGAATCTACTGGTCTATGGTATTTTCCTTTCCTTTCTCCTCACCCCTCTCTTTCTCCTTCTCCTCATCATTCCACCGCTAACTCCCCCCCAGATCACACTTCTCTCTCACCCTCTTCACCCTCCTCCCTCCTTTCCGCACCCCCTTCTTCCGTCCCTATCGCACCCTCATGTATGCGGCCCTGGGTCTCTCAGCCGTAATCTTCATCGTGCATTCGATTGTTCTCTACGGCATCGCGTTGCAGTATAAACGGTTGAGTTTGGGTTGGATAGTGGGGATGGCGGGACTTAATTTTGTGGGGGCCTTGGCTTATAGTTTGAGGGTAAGTTTTTTTTCTAATTCTATTTATATTTGATTCTTTGTGCTATCTAGATCTTGGCTATGAAACTTACATATCTGGGAACTGGAACCTTGGAAATCCCCCAGGTTCGAAGTGTCAGTTTGCAGTGCTTGATTTGGAATGCAGTTAAAACTACACTCCAGATGTAGAGAGAGAGGAAGGAGGAAAGAGGAAAGAAAATAAACATCAACTAACCGCGCGCAATAAATAGATCCCAGAAAAATACTACCCCGGCCGTTTTGATATCTATGGGAATAGCCATCAAATCCTACATTGTATGGTTGTACTTGCGGCGCTGGCGCATTTTGCAGGCTTGGTGCAGAGTTTTGATTATTTGCATTCGGGTATTGAGGAGTGTTCTGTTCGGTAGGCATGGGATTTTCAGGGGGGGGGGGAGGGAGGGAATTGAGGTTGGGGGTTTGGAGAGGGTTGGGTTGCATCGGTTGATTTGGGGGTTGAGTTGGATGAGGGAGGTGTTGTGGTGGTATTGGGGATATGGATCGTGTTGTTTTGGGGTCTGGGAAAGAGGATGGAAGGGAATATATATATTGAATATTTATTGGATTGTATTATTTGTGGTTACTGTTGTAGAGAAAGAAAGAAAGAAGTCTGCATACATACACAGATGCAAACTTGGAATAGATCACGTCTCAGAATTTGATACAATTATCGTAGATGATTTCCTGGTAAACTAAAGAGCTAGGTATCTATTTCGTGTACGAAACGAGAAATGAGATGTACCAAAGACAACTACAAAAAGTATCTGAATCCTTTTCCTTCACCTCGATTCTTCCAGTAGGATGAATCGGCAGCGAGTTTTGTCATATCTTATCATGTATTGGTCGTGAGAGGTATTGTACAAAAGTCTTTTTCATTTCTTCTTCCTTCTTTCCTCCACCCATCGATTCGTATCGTATCGTATCGTAATGTATTGCAAAACATCTTTCCCAACAGCGTAAGATGCAAACGATCGATGCAATAGAAGTAGAAAAGTCGAAAGAGCAAGCAGAACCGAAATCCGAAAAAAAAAATGAAATAATCGTAGCCCAATCTAGTCGTATGCGTACGCATGTATGTCTGTATGCAAGTAATCGATCAAAGTCCCATGGACGCTGGCACCATCCCATAAACCCACATCATCTAAAGCTTCCACTCCGTCTTCAACTCATGTACAACGCTCTTTACAGCCGCCCTCTGTGTCTCGCAACCAGCGCTCTGTATCTTTCATCTCTTCATCCATGTCTTGAAAAATCTCCCACAGACCGGATAATGCGCGATTGACTTTATCTTTACTCTCCTGAGCAAACTTGATCTTCTCCTCGGAATTTCCATCGCTCTTCTCCCCTTGCTTGAAGTTTTCGTTCGGTCCAAAACCCTTCAGACTCTTCCGAACCATGTTCAAAACTCCCTCCACATCATCCTTCTCCATGATCTCCTCCACCGCCTTGCGGAACCCGGTAACTTGATCCTCCATATATGAGACCTCGGCGCGGAAACTGATTATTTTCTGCAGTGGGATATGCAGGATTCTGCGCAAATTTGACGACCTCCCAATCTTCCTTGACACCATCTGCAGCTCCACCTCCCTTTTGAAGAACGCGTTGAGTTCCAGAATGTCGAGCAGAGCTATCTTCAGTCTTGGAAACCGCAGCCATTTCCTCAAGTTCGTAGATCCCCTCAATGACATCCCACAGACCCTTCACCAAAGAACTCTTCTTCTCCGTCACAAAAGCCCGATGACACGTAATACGATTACCGATGACGATGTTCGTTCTGAGCAGATACTCCGAAGCATCGATACCCTGACCCATCTTGAAATCCTTCATCAGTGCGTCTTTTTGAAAGTGGCCACAGTCGATATTTCCACTAACGTTCATGCCATTCTTTCCATTCTTTGCATCGTTCATCTGAGCCTCGCAATGCGCACCTGGGAATGCGGATTCAACAGTAGGAAGAACTTCGGTAAACCCAACACTGTTCGCACCCTGATTGGCCATCATCATTCGCAGCATCATAACACCGATGATGAGTTGGGATGCGACCATGACGAGGAGAGCGGTGACTTCGCGAGGCTTGAGACCGCGCTTTGGGAGGAGTGGGAGAGACATCTTTTTTTTGGTCATGGAGAATGGTGTGAGAGGCTCCGACATGTATAGATCGTAGATAGATCGATAGATCGAGGGTTTGAGATAGATTGATAGGATTGTTAAAGAGTGGCTTTGATTTCTTGTTCGAGGTTGAGTTGAGTTGGGTTTGGTCGGGTTTGTTTGTAAATGTGCAAATAGAATTTATTGCGACAACTTGACATGCAACAAGAAGAAACAAGACAAGATGAATCTGCAACAATTCCTATCTTATAAATTGAATCGAAAGCTGCAAGAGAAAGAAATGCAAACTGGTGGCAGCCAGTACTTTAGATATTGTCGAAAGGATTGTCTTGTACTGTACAATTTGAATTTTGGTACGATGGGCTGTGTAGGTATCGAAAGGAATTTGGAAAGCGAGAAAGAAGACAGAAGAGAAGAAATCGAAAGATCTTTCAAAATCAGGCTGCTAAGTTCGGGTCAGGTGGTGAGGGGGCCAAACTGTGAAAGTGAATATCAAGAGAAAGGAAGTGAATATCAAGAGAAAGGGGTGCAGTTCGGATGAGAGTTGAGAACTGTCATTCATATCCATCTTATAATGCTGTTAACGTTATCACAAGCTCAAGACATGTCTGGTGTGAAAAGTGAAAGACCAAAGGAAATGTACAATAGATAACTCTAACGACCTTGGAAGATATCAAAGCAATGAATCGAAAGATAATGATTAATATTAAATTTACAATATACAAAAAACCCAATAGTAAGTTTCCAACTTCCAAAATATGAGAGACGTAAAACTTTTCGACATAAACACCATAACCTGGGTATCATAAGAATCAACATTAAAAGAAAGTAGCCAATTTTATCTCTCTCCATCTTTCCCTCTCAGTATGCCACCACCAATCCCTCTTCTTTCTATCCTTTGATTTCGAGTCTAGATCTATGTTCCAACTTCCCGTACAACCATCACTAGACTTCGACTCGACTCCTTTCTCCAAAAGTGCTTCGACACTCATGATGGACTCATCGCTGCCTTCAATATCCGGCTTCAAATTGTATACAATCTTGCTCTCTACTTTGCCAATAAACGTTCCTAATTTGAACCTCTCGAGGAATTGTCCATCATCGTCCCAAATTATTACATCAAACTGTGGTGTTGTAGCAGTATCAATCCGGAGTTGAGCAGCATGTCGAGCACTCAGTAAACTCATCATCTCATGTTTGCCGCTCCCGTCTATATGGGTTTCATATGCAAGCGATAGCGAGGAAGAATTGGAAGATTTTCCAGTCATTACACTATCGCGACGCTCACTCTGCCGAGAAAATATCGATTGGCGATTAGGTGGAGGTATTACAGGTATAGCGGCAGGCATAGTCGCCGCTCGACTCTGAGGGTTGCCAACCCCCATGTGTCGATACTTGTCTCCTGGTAATTCAATTCTGGACCTTGGTTTGCAAAGCCTTTGAAGCATACCATTGAAGTCGGTTGGGGCACGGATAGACTTTAAATTGGGAAATCCGGCGAAAGTGATAGATTTAGCAAGGATCTCAGAAGCCTTATCGTCATCAGGATTCGTAATTTCCCAATGAAGGTGTTCGAGGGTAGACGAGGCAAGATAAGGGTGTAAAAAGATATCATTTTGGTCATTGAGCATGGGAGAAGGTCCCTGAGATAAGGAGAATGATTTGAGGTTCTTCAGGTGAGTGAAAAATCGAGCGAGGATGGCGAGTGATCGGAGTGGTAATGATATTAAAGACAGCGAGGTAAGACTAGCTGAAGTAGGTAATGATGCATAGGCTGCTAATCCATTCGAGGTTATGCCTGGAAGTGAATCGAGTCGAAGTTTTTTGAGAGCTGGAAGGGAAAGCAAGTTTTCATCATTGAAAGAAGTACGTGGGAAGTTCGATATATATAAATCCTGAAGCGATGGAAGACGTCCAAATATTTCAGTGAATAAAGGTGAATCAATCATGCCACCAGGACTACAATGGAGAACGAGTGTTTGCAAATGTGGCCAATTCGAATTGAGACCCAAGAAATCGAGATATTGTTCGGAGCGTAAGGGGCCTGGTACAATCACAGGGTTTTCGATTTCGTCAGATGCATTGTAAAGACGACGTATTGGACTTGGTTCGATAATCCATACTTTCTCGACGAGTTTCGATCGTGTCCCCAGTGCATGAAAGAATTTCGTAAATTCATGATCGTATGGCTGATAGATTCCTGGTACGCGTTCTAAGTTTGGACATGCCATTATCACCGAAGCCACCAAATCCATGTATTCATCCTGATCTTGTTTCGTTTTGGCCGAGTCTGGCATTGAAGGAACTTTCAATGATTTGACATATTTTGCGAGTTCTGGTTGACTCCGAAGGGTTCGACGAAGGAGTCTCAACCTAATTCCATGTTTCGACTTGTATTTTTTCTTCATGTGCATACTCGAATCACTTCCAACAAGCTGTATGTCTTCATATAGAATAACTCTTGCGGCACTCCACCATTTCTTGTTGCTCAATCCAAGACTGTGCAGATCCCTCATCCAACATGTTGCACAACTTAGGCTCCCCGCTTTCAGATGTGATTTCTTGAGCTCCCGCAGAATGACCAAAAGTATTTCTTCGGGAAGTTTAAGCAAACCCTCTCCTAAAGATGGCTGCGAGACAAAATTCGTCCAAGATACAGGTTCCTGCATCAACCGTTGAGGCTCGAGGAGGGTTGTTTGAACTGGTGGTCTGGGCTCAAATTCATATCGATTGGAGATTGGATCTGTTTGGGACCTTGTGGGTCCTACCTGAATCGTACTTCTTGATGCCGATTTAATTGAGTAATTGTTCGACACCGACGATATATCACTGGCCAAGCTGGACAAATCGTCAATTGAGGCACTGGTGCTCAATGGACTTCGAGGTCTTGAATCAAAGGTGCTCGTACTTCCTGCCGATGCCGGTCGAGTGGTTCGTCGTGGTGATTGCATTTCCCATGTAATTCCTTCCCAAATGATAAGATCGTTTTCAGGAAGTCTGAGAGTATTATATGTAGGATAAGAGATTGAGGTTGTATCGTGTTGGCTGGATCTTCGCCGCTTCTTTAAGATGTCTCGATCCTTTCGGTTGTTTCTAACCTTAATGTGAGATGTCTGATCCTTTCGCAGACTACTGAGTGAATGTGGTGTTTGATCCTTTCGCAAACAATTAAATGAATGTGTGTACGTTGTGTGAGATGGGGAGGAAGAGGAAGAGGAAGAGGACGAAGAAAAAGTCGTGGTTCTAAAGGAGAAAATGTAGTGTCAGCCATAACTAGCCATATCGTTGCAAATGATAAACCCAAGAACACGACCCTGATGTGCTCGAGGCTTTTCCGTTTCCGTATTCCCTACCCCATTTCGACGCCGTAAAAGAGTACTGATCGCGCGCCTAGGTAGTAGAAGATGCAGAATAAGATTAGGGTGGAGCGTTTATGTACAGGGAGGTGATCCCAGAAAATGACTAAAGCGCAGAAACAGTGGAGGGACGGACGTAGAATTCCCCATTGGATACAAACGAACCACTGATAGAGCATAGAGGAATCATACTATTTTAAGGCACAGCCGCCTTTATTGCCTCCAAGTTCCAAGTGTGAGCTCCAAGGCTCCTTCCCTCTCACGCAATGGATGGTGGATGAAGTAAATAGCACACCAAGATCAAATGCTACTATCGATCTGTGATAAAAGCATCTTGAACCTAAATGGATGTTTTTGTGGGATCTGAATGGGAACACGGAACAATGAGTGCTATAGCCTATGAGGCCCGATTACATATCATCTTGATCTTGCTGTACTGTTCAATTCGTCCACCAACTTCCAAGTGCTACTCCAAGTTCCAACTGTTTCGAATTCGTTGCCCTTTGAGTTCGGAACTTGTGGCGGGAGTGAAATGAACAGTGCAACCCGAAGTTGGAGCCTTCGCGAAATAGGAGAAACAGTAGACTCGAGATGGAAGGAATTGAGAGATTGAATCTTCCATCTAGCCAAAGTGTAAAGAAAAAGAGAGCAACTGGATGGGATCTTTTGGCTTTCATACCTCGGATTGGGATCCATCTTCATCAAACAATGAACGAATGGATGAATCAATTCGTTATCTTCGTTTAATTTACAGGCTCCAGTAGGTGGGCACGTGGTGGGGAACGCAGACGTAGGTGCATGTATGGACGGTGGACCTCCCTCCTGAAGACCTTGCAAATGTCTCAATATCACCAATTCATCGATAGGCAAGGGACCATATATTGGCCTGTTCAACAATGAAGTAATATAAAATCCGGGGATCTAAATCTACCCCATAACAGCAGGAACTCAAAGTAAATAAGAGCATCATCGTGTCTCTCCGCTGCTTCTTATATACATTTGCTCAATTACATCAGTAGTCACAACATCGACATCATCTAAAGACCCGCGTGCTCCATCTCTCACATCATCTAAATTGAAGCTGGATTCACCTGATGAGGAATCATGTCTCACAAATTAAAGGACCCCGACAGTGTGGAAGACATCTCTCAATTTATTGGAGAAGAATTCTCATGTGAGCCACGGCGACCCCAAGAAACATTGAGTTTCGCTAGATCGAGCCCATCAATCACTCCAATGAAAAATAAGATCTGCTACTGTGAGCTGCTGTGTTGCAGCGGGTGTGCGGTGTCAACATATGCCAAAGCATCACATTCTTTGGCTAAAGTTCTGCCAATTATGCAGAGAGTTTAGACGGCATGAGTTAGCACTCCAGCTTGCACAACAGGAGAATTGAAGATCAAACTGGCAATCTCTCCGATCATTAAAGTTTCATATTTTTACTTCCGACATAGATCCCGAATCACGGCCTGCACGTATTTATTGATAATGCGTTTTCGGGTGTAAGGTTGGCTTGAGAGGATTGAGCCGAATATAACTCATTATCAGCCCTGAAACACCAATGGTTCAGCTCAAGGAGAAGAACGTAATATTGGATTCGGAGCTGAAGCACATCGTGTCACGTGCCGACAATGTGTCTATCTCGGGTCTTAGGGTGCATTCAAGTATGCTCTTGAAGAGGATACTGGGGAAAATGCGGTCAATATTCAATGCCCAAGTTCGATCGTTCTTGAACATGAGAGTAATATTGATCATCCCGTGAAGTCACGTGGCGGATACACCCTCATCTGATGCACAAATGCAGAGAGTTGGGAAACTTTTAGCTAATCTTGGAATCCAAACTCGACATAGCAATCATTCCAAGTGATGCTTTATAAAACGCACTACACATAAATACAAAGGGCCTCACCATTCATCATATTGATCACATAATACTCTCATTCAACTTACATACATTTTCTGGATGCATTATGAATATTTTGGAAATTGATGTCGTTCTATTACTATCACATATCAATCTCAAAATAATCTGTGTTATAAGAGAAGCGAGATAAAGTCATATAATACAAACTGTTCAACAGTGCAACTTGATATCAAGGTTATTTAGGAATTCTATACTGTTTATTCTGTGTGTTTTTTTGTCCTCCTAGAGTATGAAGTGGTGTGTTTATGGACATTTCCTTCCTGTTCTAATTTTTCAATCGGGCGACTTTCAAGGAAACTTCTGAGGCAGCGTTGTCTGTGAAAATAGGATGGGTAGGTATAATCAGGACCAAAGCCCTCAAGACCTTGTGACCGTCGATATGCTAGTGGGTTTGCTTGGTTCCTGCTTCCTCCTCCCTCTTCTTTCCTGCTCTCTTCTTTCCCTTTAACATCTCCTTGTCGTCCGAATCGCTATAAATATTGATTTTTAGTCAAGCATCATGAGTTCGTCCACAAACAAAACTTCATTAGTATTCGCAGTGGCTTCTACTACGATACGCGTCGACCGATAAATAAACATAACTTTACTTATTGCATTGCGAGCATCAAAATACCAACGATACACTCTATCTTTCAGCACTTATTGCATTTCTTAAACGATAAAAATGGCCGAATCAGAGAAATCTGTAACAAGAGAGCCACGAAACTCGACATCTCTTACCACGTTCACGTTATTTCCAAAGCTTCTCCCAGAACTTCGATCGAAGATCTGTGAGCTGGAGATCTTCAACAACCCCAGAAATATCGTTATTGGGAAACATCAGCCATCGGAGGTACGAGAAGGCCACCCAAGATGGAGCGAACACTTCGGATATATGTGCACAAGCGATGTACCGGCGGTCCTTCGTACTTGCACGGAAGCTCGTACCGAAGGATTGAAGTATTACAAGCTGTTGGAGTGGGTTCCGGAAATTTCGAAGGGGAAAAAGCGGTTGGTTGAAAAACCTGAGCATCCGGCCAGAACGTACATAAACTGGAAAGTTAATAGGATCGTCATATGCGATGTGGGCAGATTTTGGATCCATAGTTTGCGTATCTCTGATAATGCGGTTGGAAAGGTACAGAACTTCAAGAAACTTCAAGAAACTCCATGATGATGACCGGAGTTCTGCATACGATCTTGCCCAGAAAACTCATCGAGAATCGCGTGAAGTTTTTTGGCGGTCGATACGGGAAATGATTCGGATAAAATTGAATCCTTTTTCGAGAGCGTCTATCCTTGGGGATGTCCGGTAGAAGAACTAATCTTCTACAGTTCTGTACAGAAGAATTTCGATAATGGATTTTTTGGGGTTAGACAGATATTGCCGTGGAGTACTTTTTGTCAATCAAAAGTACGAGATTCATCGAAGGAGTCCACGTTAGCCTATAAATTTCTAGTTGCCCGTTTCAAAGTTCATGCAGAGGGACGAGGCGTCATGTTGCCACAATATGGGGGAATCCCGCAGACGGCTGGACAAGCAATGCCGAGGCTCGTAACACCAATGGGGCTCAGAAACAGAGACATGTCTGGACGAATCTTTTCACGGTTCCGTATTAACAGTCGCAAATCGCGCATTAATGAGGCATGATGATATTCTGGTGGGAAACAAGATCAATGTGATTTCGATGGACAATGAGTCTTTAGCGTAGCATGCGGATCAGTTAGGATAATGATACTACAATATGAAAAGGACAGAACATGAAGACTCGGTTCAATATGGAAGTGACTATGTTTGTAATACCACAATGGTGACATTGATCACATCAATGAGAGATAGAAGTCCAGCACTACCTAAGTACCGAAAGCTATCGATATACTTCCTATTTCATTCTTTTGGATGATCAACTTTGATACCCGACGAACAATACGAATCTTGACTGGATCGTGAGATCAACAAGCCCATCATAGGGAAGAACTCCGATGATCCAAATGATATCTTAGGTGACTCAAATACAGCTATCACACTACCCAAAAAATCCAACTGTGCAATTCGCCGTGAAAATGTGTGATTGAAATGATTTGACACTTGAAGTGGTTGGTAAGATATATACCAAATTAATATCCTCTCCAAACCGCCGTCACCAAATCCCAAAGCCCAAAAAACACCCTAGAAATTTTTACCGAACGCACTAAATCGCCACCACCTCACATTCCCTCGCGATTCCACGCCAAAGAATCCATGATACCAAAACGTGATATATTCTCCCTATATTATTCTTTACAAAATAAAATGCCCAATCATCTAAAAACATTAAAAAGAAAGAGATGACAAGTACCACCTCGCACAATGGCATTGCCCCAACAAACCCCGCCTTAGAAATAAAGTGCATCACCCACTCACCCATCCCTCAAATCCCCCTCGTGGAAAAACACCAACTAACCCTCCCCTCCCAGTCCCCTCACTCTCTTCTCCATCGCGCAGAAAGAAAAACGACCTCTCTATACCTGTGCGCCTATGGTGCGCTATAGTAAAGTAAGAGTTCTCAATTCCGTTACCGCATCCCGACTAATGAGACATAGCTAGCTTTTCGCGAAACGGTCGCGCAGTATGGAGTGGATCTTTGTTGGACCCCGATGGTATGTTGTATTTCGTCTGGGGCATTTGGGATTGCGCGTGGGTTGTGAGGAACATGTGCTGTGCTGAGATGAGATGAGAGCAGATTTTGGCAAAAGAATTTAATCGCAGTGTTTTTGCACGTGATTCGGGTGAGCACGTGGTTTTTATTGTGTGGGAGTTGAGAGTTGAGAATTGGTTTGGAGGTAGAGTCGAGTGACTTGTGATTCGAGGGTGAAGATTTATTGCTACGTGAAGGAGTATAGGTCTGTCCATTTGATCGTGTTTGGGTCAAGGTTGGTGAGGATCAATCAGCGGCAACAGAGAAGTCTTTGTTCATATTCGCGATATCATATGGAACTTCCGTTGTTAGCATGCATTGCAATAAAGCGCAGAGAGGCTATACGAGTTCAATTGTATAGAAATCTCATCGAGATGTGCGTGTATGCATACTGCATATCCTCCAGTAGCAAGGTTGCATCCAGCTCCAGCTCAATTTGGACACACAACTCCCGACAACCATTCTCAAACTCCTTCTCACAGCCAGCCTCTTTGCCACTGTGTCCCATATACTAACTTCAACCCCTAGATTTCACAACATCCCCCACTTCCGGCCCAACCATCGCCCAATTCGGCGTCTGTTCCCCCCTCGAAATCTCCCGCTCCACCACCCTCCTCGCCCCCTACGTAAACGGCGTAGACATAAACTGCGGATGTCCACAATCGTGGGCTTGCGCCTGCTCCATCGGCGCCGCATTAATGCACAAGCGAGAACTCGTCGCGGAAATGGTCAAGGAAGCAAAAAGTGCATTGAAGAGAGATGGGTATGAGGGAAAGAAAACAGTCAGTGTTAAGATTAGGATTCATCGGGATTTACGGTACACATTTCTATTTCCCAAAGGAAGAGCAAAGCAAGAGGGAGATCATACATAGCTAACACCACTGCCAGCGAAACAATCGATTTCATCAAAACCGTCCAAGACGCCGGCGTAGACTTCATCACCATCCACGGCCGCATGCGCTCAACCCCCTCCTCACACCCCGTAAATCTCGAAGCCATCAAACTCCTCACAACCCATACCACAGTACCTACCCTCTCCAACGGCGACATCTTCACCCTCTCCGACGCCTTCCATCATACCGCGCACACCGGTGTCTCGGGCGTCATGTCCGCCCGCGGCCTTCTCGAGAATCCCGCCCTCTTTGCAGGCTACACGTCAACACCCTGGGAATGCGTCGATGTCTTCATGAATCAGGTGCTCAAACAACCTATACCGTTTAAACTCGTGGTGCATCATTTGAGCGAAATGTGCGGCACCGATCGTTCGCAGAATGGGGGGAATAATGGGTTGTTGGGGAAGGAGGAGAGGATGAGGTTGATGGAGTGTAGGGATATGGTGGATGTGATTGATTTGATGGATGAGGTGAGGGGGTTGCGGAGGTTATAGATTTAAAGAGTCATTTATTCATAGATAGAAATGATGGATGAATATTCAAGATTTAAAAGGGTCTTCATTTTTTCTTTCTTTTTTGTAACATGTATTCCATTCATTATATTCTACAACCACAAAAGAAATTTCGAAGTATCAACTGATCTATCTAATGTCTTAGATACAAGAAGAGCTAAAGAGAAAACCGGTAAAGTAGAAAAGAAGAAAAGAGAAGAAAAAAACATAAGCAAAACGCAAAGTCGCACGCCCGGGGTATCTTTACAAAACCATATCAAACAGTAACCTCATCCAACTCCCCATTTCATGATTTCCTGTCCTTCCTAGAATATAACACCCAAGATCGAAAAATTATCATCCTTAGTCCAGAAAGTTCCTTTATGCGGATCATTATAAGATTAATAAGCCCCGCAATATTCAAGCCGATCTCGTCGATTTCTCCCTCGCAAACTCTCGTCTCGTATCGGAAGAACCACCTCTGTCGCCACGTCCTCTACTTCCCCCCATTCTACCACTACCTCTCAAGCGTCCTCTCTCCTTCTCTCTCATATGCGTATTCTTATAGTCCATCTTGGGCTTCTCAGTAGGAATATCCGGCGCCCAATTACTCAAATCTGCACCTTTATGGCCATCGGGAAACGACGCATTGAGCGGTATAGATTCACCCTGACATCCATATTCTCCTCTCTCGTGCGCGAATCGTAGACCTTCCATCAAAACTCTCCATCGCCATTCCGTGTTGATTTCTGCAAGGGAAAATTGATTCTGGATTGGAGCACAAGGTGTGATGCCATTAACTGCAAATCCTGTTCTCCAATCTTTGGCGCATCCCCAAGAGTGAAAGCGGGTTGTGGTGCACTTGGGGACGGGACAATAGTGGTTTGATACTGCAGGGTAGGGTGCAGGCTCGGATTCCGATTGGATACGGAAAAAAGAGAGGGAATGGAGACAGGTACCTTGAATATGTACGTATGGACATTGTTGGGATTGATTGATCGGGGGTTCTCTGGGCGGGTAGTTCCAGGGCCAGTCGCTGAGAGGAGGTGGTCGAAATGAGCAGCCATTCTCACTTGTGAAATCTGGGCAGATTCGCTGGAGCATACAATTTGGCATTGGGCACTGAAAGTCGGGAGAAGTCAAAGAAGAAGGACATATATGGCGGTGTGTTCGCGGAAGGAGCAATCCAACTCTCTTAATGTCGTCTGCGGTGGCTGTTGCAGGGATGAAGTTCTTCAACGATAGCTTCTGTGAGTAGGGCTGTTGTTGTTGACAGCTTGCATGAACATTGAAGACCCTTCTCCGAGGACTGGTGTTTGTGCTTGTAGCTTTGAGTGTAGTGTTTGCAGATAATTGTTCAGTCGGTGAGGTAGGAGTAGACTTATGATCTTTCTTTCCTGGAACAGGTATTCGCAAGAGCGGTCTATCTGCCAACAAAACATCATCATTTTCACCAGTTTCATCTTGATCTTTCGCTGGAGTTGGCGAATGGGGAGGATCCTGAATGATATCTTCCTGTTGAATATCTGAATAAATTAGAGAATTCGATGAAAGTTGAGGTGAAGCCATGAAGTAGGGCGACGGTGCGTGCTGAAGGAATATTGGCGTCGGCGGCTTCTGGTTGTATGCGTCAAAATGACTGTAAGGACCAATCGAATTATTCGCAGGGCGATGTGTAGACCAAGTTCTCGATCTGTTGAGCATTGGGTAAAATTTGACCTGTGTAGGTGGGGCACGGCTTTGTTCTACCATAAAACCTGGTTGTTGAATAACTGAATACTTCAATCGAGGTGGGTTTTGTGAAGCAGGTGCTAATGTAAATGGAGGTACGGGAGACCTAAGATCTGGAGCCACAGATTTTGAAGGAGCAAAAGGTTTCTACAGAACACAATTAGCAATTTTTCTTCTTGGCAGACTTCAGCATCAAAACTTACCGCGTCAGGATTGAACTTGGTAGCCGACTTCAAAGGTTCCATCTCTTTGGCAGTGACAGAACATTTCTTTTCAGGAGCCAATTTTGCCCCTCTGTCTGCTGTTTGCCTCATTTCACACGCTAATCTGGCAACCCTTTCCTTCTCTGTTAGAATCTCAATCTGCCTCAAAGTGCTTAGATGACTATCCACAATTTCTTTGATTTCTTGGGGTGGTGCACCCTTTGCTTTGCTCATGACAACAATGCCATGCATCATGTGCTTGATGGCGTGAATAACTCTATGTGAATCATTTACAACAACGTCCCATAAAGGCAAACCTCCTCTAATGTAAGAAGGAGTATCATGGCGTTCTGCCTCGCATAGTTCTTCAACCTCAATATTTTTGGCTTTCATGGGTTCTGGTGAAGCGCTGTAAATATCACTTTCTGACCCTGCCGCCACAGCTGGAAATTGAAATGGAGGAAGAACTTCTTTTTGCGAAGGGCTTGATGTTTCTGTTGCGATGAAATTCGGGAAAAGCACGGTGGATTCATTGTCAAATTCTCCGTCTTTCAACATAGTAGTATCGTCTTCTCCATTTTGAGTCGGTGAATCCCAAGGAGTATTGGCATCTTCTCCCTCAACAGCCGTTTCACCAGTCTCGGTAGATAGAATACTCATACATTCTGCTGTGCTGGGCGATAAAAGTAGGGTTTCTTTTTCGCCGACGGAATCACCTTTGGGGGATCTCATCTCTTTGGTGGGCGTAACAGGAAGAGGCGGAAGTGTAGAATGATTTATTCGTTGAGATGTTTTTGATACTTTCAAAGCAAATAATGATCCCCAATTGGGTGGGGTGGCGATGGGTTTTTGTGTGGAAAGTTTTGGGTTGGATGAAAGTGCAGGGAATTCTTCAGTATTGTTTAATTGAAGCAAATTTATTGAAGAAATACTTTCTTCGGCTGGTTCATTGTCCGAATCCATGGTGAATGTGCAAGTCGTCGGATAATGTGGAGGTAGTTCGGACTCAAGTTGACTGCAAATGAAAATGAGTTGATTCTGTTCAGCATCAAACGTATCAGTAATGTAACTGACACAAAGCTTTATTGATTGAAGAGGATAAACGATGAAGACCAAGAATTTGATAAATGAATGTACAAACCTTATAATAAAAGTAAATGCAAGGCAAGTGATTGTGCGGTATCTGATGTTAAATGTGAGCTGCACGTGCCCAATTGTCTCAACAAACTCTTGATCTGCTGTATAATTCTCAATCTCGATGGATGAAAGAGTATATCTAAACTCCATTGAATCATTAGTAAAAGAATTCTTTCCTTCCAATGAAAATACTTGTCATGTCAAAGTCCCTGTGAGGGTGTCAAAAGTGAAGACATGAGATAAACATACACTTTCTCGAATTTGTACTTCCTAAAGTCTTGGTCAGTCCTTAAACTCGAGACACAGTGAGTGATTCAAACTTACAACTCTCTTTTTATCTTCTGCTGAGGGCGATGACGATGTAAATGAAGAAAATAGCAGTTATAGTAGACAAGACAATCATGGAAGTTCGAAAGAATAATGATTTACGGTCAAGGTTGCTCCAACTTTCGAATTGCATATTGGGTACTGAAAGAGTTTTGAATATATTGAGCTTTTGTTGAAAAGTAGAGCGTTGGGAGGATGGAAAGATGTTTCCTGGCAACCCAGAGTATACAGTAGCTGTCTCGAGGGTTGAAGGTGGTGATGAGAAGTTGTGATGGGAGAGAAGAAGGTAGATCGAGAAGATTACATGTTATATTGAAATAAAAACAATTCAATTACTAGAAGAACTTATCGGTATCTTCCATTGAATATCGAAGCGAGGACCCAGATGGACAACAATAATAACAAAGTTGAGACGATATCACCTAAGTGATTTATGTGTTGGTGCTTATAATCATACAAGGCATGAATGTTAGAATCATAATTGTGAATATCTAATACTTACCACTTTTGAGTAATTCATGAAAGCTTGCAATTGATTGAATGCGTTGATTTGATAGGAAGCCAGCCATAGCTTGATGCGCATAAATCTTTGAAGCTCGTTGTTGGAGAAACCTCTGAAGTGTTGATATTGTGATTTACTGTCAGGAAGGGAGGCACAAAAACATTGGTCAACTGACACCAAACATAAATAGCCTTGTTCTTGGGGGAAGAGGGCATGGAGGATGGTCAGTAACCTTCTCAAAGTATGGATGTATAAGTATCCAGTATGTATAACCAACGGAGTATGAGCGAATCCATTGACATTCCATGACTGACTCCACTGCGGCCTCCTCTCAATGTTTCACCGAAATTCAACATCCACAGCTTTCGTACTAAAATCCACGACTCTTCCTTGTGCCCTCCATTCTCTTCTCTTGATGCTGATATCGGGTCCATTTACCCATCGTAAATTGATTCATACTACCTATATGACTCACCATCAACCCCAATATCAAGGATACTTTCTCCTTTCATAAGCCCTCTCTCGTCTGGCCTAAAAGTTGCGAGGGCTTGCAAAGAGTACTTCACTAAAATAGAATATGGAAGGCTTCCGTCCAATCACCACTTGGGATTGAGAGAAATTATTGGGTGAGCTTCCTGTCATTTGGAAAATGTCGTCCAAGGTGGAGACGAAATTCGCATATTGCCTAAATACATGGACCAGAGGTCATAACTAAGATAATCGCAACACTTCACAGTCAGCAAGTCGAAATCCTTTCATTCAACAAAGTATCACATAAAATTATCCGCAAGTAGGTCATATATGAAAGTAGTAATATGAAATAATATTGATAAGCATACAGCTCTTTCGAGCGATGAAATATTGTAGAAATATGAAACGCCTTTTTCCTTCCCATCACAGCAATAAGCACCTATGCTGAATATTGTTTCCCAAATTTTTCAATCGTAAGTTTCATCCATGTCCCGAAAGGGAACAAATTGAAAATGCCCCAGACGTTCGCAAATGCGATAATAGTAATGTTAAGAAAATTCGTTGTCTTCGTAAAAATACTCTATTCAATGGCGCTAGCAGACGAATCGCCAACGACTGGGTTCATGGAATCGCTCCAGTTCATTCTGAAATCGTCACCCAATTGCTTTCTCAAAGCAGTCTGGACGGCTTCCAAAACGTTCTTGAAGACACCAAAGTTGGCTGGGTTCTCCTCGTCGTTCTCACCACCTTGGAACACACCAGTGCGAACCAAACAAGTGTTCCAGCCATAGTTGTTACCACCGATGATATCAGATGCTGGGTTATCACCGATCATATAGATGTTCTCTGGCAACTTCTCCTCTCCGTGAATAGTCTCCATCCATGATGCCATGACCTCATCGGCATACTTGTAGGTGGCCAGTTCAGGCTTTCCGTAGACAACACGCTCGAGTTCAACTCCGGTGATGGACTTGTAGATGGCCTCGAGGGCAATACGGAAAGTACCTTGAGACATACGAGGAGTTGGGTGCTCGCTAGGGCACAAGAGATCTCCCTGGGAGAAGTAGATTGGGATACGTTGGGAGACGGGGTCCTTGGCACGAGTACCGAGAACACCATCTTCAGATTGAAGAAGATCCATAATAATTTGAAGATCGGTGGCATAGTCGCGGGAATCAGAGAAGACAAGGATAGCATCAATCTTAACCTTGCTGAAATCTCTTGGAGTGGATGTAGCACGTTGCTCAGCGGTGAAAAACTCTTTGAGTGGGGAGATGGTAGGGATGGAGGCTACGATATCGTTTGGTACGACGATATCCTTGAATCCGTACAACTTAGCGACCTCTCGACATTGGTAGTTCTCACCACCAACAACCAAGACAGTATCGTAATATTCAGCCAAAGCGGACATAGGAGTGTGGGATTGAATGAATTGCTCGGTTGCAACAGGGTTTCCGAGAATCTTGGAGAGCTGAGCACAACGAGTTGGCTCAACCTTTCCGGAGCCGTTGGTCAAGAAAATGTGGGGGATCTTGATACCGAGCTCGTTATCGCCGTTCAAGATCTCCAATGCTCTCTTTCCTTCTGGGATCAAACGATCACCGTGAACGAGAACACCATCAATATCGAAAGCGAATGCCATGTTCTTTGCAGCTTCAGTCTTGATCTTGTGCATGTCTTGAACTTGCGAAGAGAGGATCTCGCGGGTTGGTTGAATGGCTGGCATTCCAGGTCTCGAAGGTCTATCTTGGGTGACAACAGATGAGAGACGAGATTGACGCTTTGAACGGGGAATTGGCAGAGCAGCACCAAAGCTGTTTCTTGAGCCTCTACGTCCATTGGTTTTGTTCTCAAGACTCAATGAATGCATGAGCGATTGAGTCTCTGCGACGGAAGATCTTGAAGCTGGAACCTCAATTGGTCCAGAATCATCATCATCACCTGGAACCACCAAGCTGTGGTTAAAACCTGGAGCTGTTGAGCTTTTGCGTTCTGTTTGGGATGTGGAGGTTCCATTGGAGGCAGGCTGGGCTTGAGCAGCCAAATCGTTATCATCGAAACCAGGCATGGTGAAATATAAGTTTGGAAGTTAGGGGTATGAGATTTTGGAGTGGAAAGGAAGATTATCTGTATATGGTAACGGTAGTGAGGAAGAATCAGAAGTATAAAGTTGAGGAGACAAATATGGCGCGGGGGCACAGCGTATATATCTGAAATTCAGGTTCTTGAAACCAAGCTAGAGAATGAGTAGGAATAACTTGTTAGGAACTGACCTTGTATTGATGCCGACGCCGAAGGAAGTGAGCTCATAGCACTGCATGATTGGATCCGTATTTGCAATGAAATATCGTCTTCAACTTGCCGAAGAGCATGCACCAAGATCCACATTCATGATCCGTCAAAGTATATTGAAACATGAATACCTGTACTTCGTATGTATCTTCAAAGCCGCCTTGGCCGGCGCGGAAAAGTTTTGTATCAAAAGCGGATCCGGTTGTCCTTATCCAGGCTGTCCTTGTCATGGGTGGAATTACGTCTGCGAATGAAGTCGGGTAGTTTTCCAATTTTGAAAATTTATGCTTCAGATAAGGCAATGATGTGGGTTCATCGGATAACCTAGTAGAGGGAAGGCTACGAAAGTTTGTATTCATGAATTGCGTTTGGGTGGATAAGTTGTCAAGGAAAGGGATCCAGCATGACGTCTGAGGGACCACATTAAAGAATGTGAGGTGAGAATAGACACACCGTAGTATGCCCGATTAGTTGATTATTTATACATACACGACGGGGAGTTTCTGAAACGGTAAGGGATTGATCCATATTTCTTCTGTGTGCTTCATTATTGACCCTTACCATATCTTACTCATGCGATGTCGATCAATATTGAAGGATACCTCATGAAGTTTTGGCAGGAAAATCAAATTGACTTATGCGTTGGCTCTAATTGCTGTTCCTCATTTCTTTGTTGTCTCGCTTGAATAGATAAGTACGTCGAATTTGACGCAGCTGGAGTATGCTGGTACCATGATGATGAATGATGTTATTCTTCGGATGATATAACGTTGCACACATTGTACGTGAGGGAAAGGGAGAGGGAGAGGGAGAGGGAGAGGGTGAGGATGGATGGGTAGTTGATGAAAAGGCGGAAATAAGGTTTACCAGTGTCTTGGCTTAAGCTCGGATAAACCTTTCTTCGGCTTAGTAAGCGACATCCCATCAGAGCTTCCAAGCAAATCAAGAAAAAATAGAATGAAAATTTGGTCCAATTTCTCAAGCCTTGCATATCTGGGTTGGATATCTTTTCTTCCCGAGATTCTCAACCGCCACAGCCTTGACTAGCCTCGGTAGCCTTTTGAAACCGACAAGTATCTTCCCACATGTCCGCCGTCGCCATCTCTTAGACAGGAACAGGAACATTGCAAGGAAGAAAAAAGGAAATTTTACCAGTGGCTTTTCCTTCATATCGGCATCGATCGATCTACGGCCCTTTTACCACATTTGCTACAACTTCCACTCTACATTTACT